GTAGGGAAGTTTGGTCCAATCCACAGATCTTGAAATCCACAAATGCATTTGATAATAATACAATTCATTGATTATTTTTTTCTGGGGATGGCAGTGCTCTTTGTGTCCACTTTCACAAAGTTTTCGTTTGTTGGTTTTTGTTTTTAATTTCATCTCTAAATTTGCTTAATGGCATTTGGAAAGTAAATTAAAGAAAATTTTAAAGGCAAGAATTACAGACCAGAAGTCTTCTTAGGTATTACTTTGGCACCATCTGCTGGAGACCTTTTAAAAGTTTTCCAGTACATAAACTTCCACACAGTTTCTTTTTTTTTTTCAGTGATTTAAAGGAAATATTGCCCAAATTATTTACATCTGAATTCAGTACCATACCAGCTTATATTAATAGGAATTTAGCAATGGTAGTAAATCGTAAAAAGTAGTAAGTGGGGGTGCCTGGGTGGCTCCGTGGGTTAAAGCCTCTGCCTTTGGCTCAGGTCATGATCCCAGCATGCTGGGATCGAACCCCACATCTGGCTCTCTGCTAGGCAGGGAGCTTGCTTCCCCCTCTCTCTCTGCCTGCCTCTCTGCCTACTTGTGATCTCTGTCTGTCAAATAAATAAATAAAATCTTTTTAAAAAAAAAGTAGTAAGTAGTAAATCCATTACCACTTAAGAGGCAATAGCTTGCCCTGGGAAGCTGCCATTGCAACACATGTAAATAAGTCTTGGAATGTGAGTTTCATATGGAGGACTTTAAGCCAGGCTGGGTCTCAGCAGCCTCCATGGCAATCACCAATGCGTTTTTTGGTAACTTCGCTGTGTTGTGAAGGCCTGAGCACCAAGCACTTTAGATACATGACCTTAATCCTCTAACAAGCAACCACGTACCTCCTCCCTGCCAGGACTTCATAGAAACCCTTTGAGGGTACTTAACACCAATATTATACCAGCTTTCCATTCACCAAGAGGGTGACTTTGGACAAGTCATTTAGCCATGCTCAGTCTGTTTTCTCATCTATAAACTCACAGGCTACACCCACCTTACTGACGACAGACACTGTGATGGTTAACAGAGCCTGCCACTCTGTGAGCACTCCCAACCCTCCCTAAACTATCAGCACTATTACAACAACAGACCTCCTTTTCCTCCAGGGAATACCCGTCTTGGTCGCTCCCAAGGCTGGGAGAATGTCCAAGAATGTTCTCCATGTTCCATCTACTTACTTGGGGCAGGATGGATTTTTTTTTTTTTTAAGATTTTATTTATTTATTTGACAGACAGATCACAAGTAAGCAGAGAGGCCGGCAGAGAGAGAGGAGGAAGCAGGCTCCCCGCCGAGCAGAGAGCCAGATGCGGTGCTCGATCCCAGGACCCTGGGATCATGACCTGAGCCGAAGGCAGAGGCTTTAACCCACTGAGCCACCCCGGTGCCCCTGGATTTTTATTTTTTTAATGGATTAAGCTGTGTTCTGAGACCGTGCGTGTTTCTAGATTTTCTGATAATCATATAGCCTACTATGGACTTTCACTTTTTAGATATTTCTCCATATGTTTACCTTAGAAAATAGAAAGGCAGAAGTTTTTGTCTTCCTTGTCCACTGCTCCCAAAGAATCTGTAGCAGGTGCAACTAGCTGTCCCCTCCAAATCCATCCTCTCCTTCACAGAGTAGAATAGCAGGCAGGCGCATGGCTCTTATTTCCCAGATGCCTGGCAGTTTGTGTGGCCATGTGAGGGCCCATGGAATGTGCTCGGAAGTGATGAGCAGCACTTCTGGTTTCACCCCACAAAACTTCCCAGGCTGTCCTTTCTCCTTCCGTCGGCTACATGCAGATGACCGGCCCTAGGAGCTGGAGGGCCCACCAGAGAGAAACTTTGGGTCCCTGAGCCATGTGTGGGGGAAGCTTGTCTTGCCCACCTCTATACCCACCCCAGAACTGTTGTATGACCAGGAAATAAACTTCTTTTTGTCTTAACCTTCTGAAATGTTGGATCACGTTGTGACCACAGCTTAGCTAAATATAAACATTAACCATGAATACCACCATGGTCCATTTCCACTCAATCCTTTCTCTACTTTGTGTTTTCGTGGATAGTCCACAACAGTGACTTTGTATCTTATTTCTTACAAATAATTTTGTTATTATAATGAATTCTTCATAATTTAATGGTTGCAGTATCCCATAAAGTAGCTGGCTAGACCTTAATTCACTTAATATTCTATTGTTGATATTTAGTTTGTTTCTGTCTCCATTTAAAAAATCATCTAATAAACATTTTTATGCAGAAGCCGTATTCTATAGTTTGAATCATTTTTAAAAACATCATCAGAACTGGCAGGAACCAAGGTTATAAACACGTTGTTGAACTTCTTTTCTCGAAGACTGAATCAAGTATATTACTATAATTGAGTGTGTTCATCAGACTTTGCAAGCAGATTTTACAAATGTTAGTATAAACCTGTTAATTTTTAAAATTCTCCATCTTATATTTTGCATTAAAAAATATATTTATTTATCAAAGATTTAATTTATTTATTCAAGAGAGGTAGGTGCAGGGAGAGAGAAAATCAGGTTCCCTGCTCAGCAGGGAACCCGAAGCAGGACTCAACCCCAGGACCCTGGGATCATGACCTGAGCTGAAGACAGATGCATAATAAGCAACTAAGTCACCCAGGCGCCCCTATTTATTTATTGGGTGGCGGGGCAGAGAGAGAGAGTGTGCAGAAGGAGAGGGAGAGGGACTCTCAAGCAGACTCCCTGCTGAGTGCAAAGCCCAACAGGGGCTCAATCTCAGGACCTGAGTTCATGACCTGAGCCGAAACTAAGAGCTGGATACTTAACCCACTGAGGCTACCCAGGTGCCCCATATTTTGCATTCCTTTGCTCACTACTGAGGTTGAACACTTTTCTGTATTTGTTAAATAGTGCGTCTCCTGTCTTAGGACTTTTGTTTAAAGCCTGCCATAACCATCTATTTGGGCCTACATTTCCTGCAGCTTCACATAATCAAGCACTAACAGAATACTAGAATCAATCACCCAGAATTTCAGAAAGCATTTTATTAAAAGTCAGAACAAATATTAAGGCACAAAAATACATAAACTTTTCAAACAAAAATCTTTGAAACAGTTTTGTCCTACATTCAAAGCAACCTTTTCCAAATTATGCAATAATTTAACCCTTTTAAATAGAAAAATATAACTTTTCAAACCCCTAAATTTTCTCCTCAAACACAGGAATGCTTTCCTAGTTCTAAAGAAGTTCCTTAATGCAGTACAGAGCTTCTCTATATACTGACATTTCCTTAAAATCCTACCTTTGTCACTTATGTACATTTCATATGTTTAGAACTTTACCAGTATGTTAACCTTTCTTCTTGTAAGTATAAGGCTTGGTGTTTTGTATTGCTTATGGCATGCTGTTGATCATACAAAGACACATTAAGAAAACTAGTTATTTTTTTAAATCTAGCACAACATCTCTCCACTTTAAATTAGTCATGTATAGCTTAGTGCAATAGACTCAACCCCTTTTATTTATTTTTAAAGTAAACTCTACCCCTAACGTGGGGCTTGAACTCATGATCCCAAGATCAAGAGTCGTATGTTTTACTGGATGAGCCAGGCAGGCACCTCAAACCCCTTAAAAAAAAAAGATATAAAAATTAATCTTATATGTACATTTTTTATACTTTCAGTCTTGACATTATAGTAGTGCAAACATAATGTACTGTATCACAGAGGAAAAGTTGGTTTTCTCTATAGGATATGAAAGATTGAAAAATTATCTTCTTTACAGGAAAAGTAAAGGAACATCATCTCTCAGTCTTAAAAAATTCACACCGATTCTTCTATTTTTCCGTATTTTTGAAATAAATTAAGTATCCTTTAAAGCAGACAATTAAATGCTAATCTAACACAAATCATGAAAATTTCCTTATAAGCAGATTTCACACATCATATAAATCTAACATGACTTGCATAAGAACACTTGAGCATTTTCTCTAGAAACACATAAAACTGGACTCTTCTCAGATTCCTTCATTTATAGTGAGACCCATCTTGATGGCAACCCAAGAACAAACTGATCTGATAAACTCAAAAGCTCTAAGGACCAGTTTCTGGACACTTCGTGCAGCAGCTGGGATAATAAGCTGGACAACGGCCCTGGGTATCCCTTTTCCCCAGTGACCTTCAGAAGAAGCACAGCTACAGCCCGAGGACACCCCCTCCTATTTCTGTGAGGGGGCTAAGAGGACCTTCCATAGGCATACTCAGTTCAGGTCAAGAGACATCACCTGAGGACACAATCATCACTGAAAGTGACAGATACCATACATGTCCTTTGAGAAACAACATTTCTGGGGCACCTGGGTGGCTCAGTGGATTAAGCCTCTGCCTTCAGCTCGGGTCGTGGTCTCAGGGTCCTGGGATCAAGCCCCGCATCGGGCTCTCTGCTCGGCGGGGAGCCTGCTTCCCCCTCTCTCTCTGCCTGCCTCTCTGCCTACTTGTGATCTCTGTCTGTCAAATAAATAAATAAAATCTTAAAAAAAAGAAAAACAACATTTCTGACAAGGTTATCAGAAGGGAATCCTGCTTACTCTGGAAGATGAGAAAAATCTGCATTTCAGCCTGGAGCTGAGCTACACACATCACATCGTTTATCTTTCCCTGCGGAAAGAGATGTTTCTATAGGCTCACCATCGACCCCCCCACGTCTGCCCCACTACATCTGCAGCTCCTACAGGCTAGAAGCCCGGGACCCTGTACTTCAAACTTCAGCTGGAGCCATGACGAGTTGGGGGTCTGCCTCAAAATCTGGGTGGTAGTAGAGAAAAATGTTAGGAATGAGAAGGCAGGGTCATCTCCAGCTCTGCAACAACTGGGCCCAGGGTAAAATACACCAAAACCAGAATGGATCCCATCTTACTGACATTCTTTTCCTAGGAAGGATGCCCAAACCGGTCAATGATCCCTACCGAAAATAAATTTGAAAAGTATCTTTCAAGACACGTTATTGCTAGATTTTTTTTTTTTTTTGCTAACTCCTATTACATGAGTAAATGAGAAATAAATCGAAAAGGCAGGTTTGGAAGAAAAACTTCTGTTTTGTAGCTTCACAATGAAAATAAATTAACAGTTATACTTAAATGTTTGTACTGGTTAAGACTTTAAATGCTTCTCAATCAAAATTCTCTGAAGTCTCTCAATTCAAAAAAGAGCTACAAGATTCTAACTTTTATTCCTATTCTAAATGTCCACTAGCCCTGTATCTTTGGTCATGAAAGCAGCAAAACATTCACATTTCCAACATTCTACATTCAACTACTTTTCAAGTTTAGAATGTTTTGCACTTAAAAAAATATTAAAACAAAAAGTTCTCAAATCATATATTACATACATAATGTAACAAGGTGATGTGTAAAACATGACTAAAGGTTAAGGAATTATTACAAGATTAATAGTGACATACTGTGCAGGTAAATACATGTTTCATTATGAAACCGAATAAACCAAGATTATGTAAAGGGTGTTCTAGCATCTACAAGGGTCACTGGTAGTGAGCCACCCAGCTTGCCAGAGAGGAACTGCAATATGGCCACATGTCTAGCACCTGCCCCAGACAGATTCCGCAGCAGCACGTGCACATATGGCCTGAGGGGACAATGACAGAGCAAATCCTTAGAAGTGATCATCAAGACCTCTTTCCTGTGTACTTGTGTTCCCCTGAGCTCAGAGAGGACCCAACTCTGATTTGGTGTGCATGGTGATATTCACAAACAAGGACTTTGTGTGGACCCGTATGTATACGTACACACACACCAAAGCTAACCATATAAACATGCTCATGTTCTAAGGCTAACCAAATTGTATTTAATTTCAAATCACTTCAGTATAAAAGTCAAAGAAAATTATTATTGCATCTAGTAACCATACACCCAAGAGATGGAGACGCTGCTTTACTACAGAAGAATCACATCATCTACCTCAAAGGTTAGTGACAATAGGAGTGTTTATGTAAAAAATATTTTTAAGTCTGGAATCGTCATATTTTCCAGAGAAAAGAGAAAACCCAAATCCATGTCCCTATTACCACTCAGCTAAGGGGATTTGGGCATATTTTTTTAATCATAATACTTTTCTTACATTATTTCCAAATCCAGGCAATTTGATGGACATGAAGCTGACATTCCAGAGCAGCTTAAAATGGTTGTAGAACCCTCATACCACCTGAATTCTTAGTTGTAATACACAGATTTCCAAGATAATGCAATGAAATCTTGTTGCACTCCATCAAAACAAAGCCCGCTTTCAGTCTTGAGGAAGGCCTTCACCGTTAACGAGGTGTCACTTCTATGGGTTTCAATCACATTATCTTTTCTGACGAGAACATTTTTTCTGCCATTTCAGATCTGGTCATGATTTCCTTAAAAAATAACAACAACAACAACAAAAGATGATATACTTGCAAATGTTGATGCTCCTTCCAGAACATAACAGAATTCTCTAATCTTTCAATGGTCACGATTTTGTGGGGGACTAAGTAGAGTCACTGGTACACACAAAAATATTAGATACAGAAAATAAACACCAGATAATACACACTTCTAGTGAGGTATGCTTGATATCCGTTGGCAAGTTCAGAAAACCTGAACAGCCTGCTAGCTGGGAAACGTCTGGAGTTCAGAATTAGCAGGGAGACGCAGGGATGGGGCTAACATGGATCTCCGAGGCAGAGTTTCTCCGGGAATCTGCCTCACTTTACACAATTCATGTATTTGAAATTACAAAATTATTTATATGAATCCTCTAAGTGCCCGTTTAAAAGCAATTCTCCAGGAGGTGTCTTTCTGTAGAGTTCTAAATCCTCAAGTTCAACTCCTTTGTAGCCAGGTGCGTGTCTACTGCAGCCTCCTCAAAACTTGCCGCCTACCGTCAGATCAGCCTGCTGCAGCCGGTCACCGCCCTTCCCTTCCGTCAACACAGCCGCGGGTTCTCTCCTGCTCCCCGGCCACCACCTAAATCACGCCTAGGCTACCACTCACGGTCCTCCACAGTTCCTTCCTGTAAGCTCCTGTCCCCATATCCACCCTTTAATTCTTGTAATTCAGACTTCTTCCGGTCGTGGGCCACACTCCAATGTCCAGATGATCTGTAACTCATTTTTCTCCCCCAAACCTTCCCAAATCCACATCTTCTATTCAAATCTCCAGGTTAATAAATGAATATGAGATAGAAACTCTATTTAATATCCCCCCAAAATATGTCAAGTATAGATTAATTTAGACAAACTGCCATCTTAAAGTATTCTAAACTCTTACCGACATACAAGTTAGAAAATCATAGACTTGAAATCTTACAATTCTCCCTTCCTTCATATCAACAAGCGCTTATCTTTCTCCTGTTTTAAATGAGGATCGAGCTCCTTTACACTTTACTGACAAATCAGTGCAGTCTTCCAATCTGCTGAATTTGTCATCATTTTATAAAGTTCCAGAATTTCTTTCTGAAATACACTTCTACTTTGTGAAAATAACAGCACCAAGAAAATACGCAAAAAATGTTTTACCTCGTCTGAATCCACTAACACTGGAAGAGCCCTGAAACAAAACAAAAACAGACAACAATGTCATTAAAAGGCCAGTGTATGTACTAAAGCCGAATATAGGCATAGTCTATGATCTACAAATTCTCATTTCTGGAGGGACACAGCCAATGGAAATAAACACCTTGGTTCACCAACAAACATGACATGAAACTGGTCATTCACTAGTGATGGGGGCTTGTAAAAACATATAGAGGTATGATATTTGAAAAGCACATGACAAAGTATGAAAATTATCTCTTTATATGATATCCTAAATTTTAGAATCAAACTTTAACAGAGGATATTTACACATCTGTGAATGAGGAGGGAATATTTTCTTCTACCCACTTCAAATCTTCATCCTGTAGAAATAAATATTTATATATTAGCATTTGCTTAGTATCCCTGAAAGTAGAATTTTAAGGTATAATGTATATAAATTTAAGCATTTAAATTCAAATGCACAATCCTTTTCATTTCTACATCTCCTAAGAAGTTGGCATGTAGGCCACACAGAAATTATGCCAGTATTTTCTTAAACAGGCAAAGAAACAAAAATTTAGATTTCAGAATTTCATACTTCTTGGTTTTTGTTAGATTCACAGGTTTTATTTCTTTGTCCTGAAAAACCATAGTAGAAACATAGTTTATTTATAAGACTGAAAATAGCAAGAATATTGATTTTTATTGGTTTTTTACTCCTAGCATTCATTATGCCTCCTAATTTGTTCAAGTTTTTATATGATGAGTTTATAATCTTTCAAAAGAAAAAGATGACAGTTTGGTTTGCAAAAGCAAAACCAAACTGGAATTTTGTACTGTCTGGGGCAAATTTCAGTAAGTTGAATTCTGAATCAACTCTCTGTAGTTCTCAGGGATGACTGAGTTCAAGAGCTCCCAACAGCCAAATGTGGTATTGTTATACCCAAACCAGGAGATGGTGCAACTGGAGTACAAAATAACAAGCACCTAGTGACGACCGCTCCTCTGAAGTCATCGTTAAAAATCAAGTAGTTGCTTATTACTAAATTTACAAAAGCCTATTTATTTCTGTCACTTCTATTTATGCTCATCTCTCTGCAGGAGACAAGAAAAGGAAAGCAGGTCGGTCAGGGTATCTGTTTCTTAACAGAGACTTACTTATGGTTATCTCACAGGGAGAAAGAAAAATAAAAGGTATATTAAGTATCTTGATTTATTAAATAAAATAAATCAAAATGTTTCTTTGTGATCTGGCTACATGGAATACTTTGGTTCTAGTATTAATCACATCTTGCTCACCTAGGAGAGAAACAAGGCAGCTGAGCCAGTATTAATAGGAACCCCAATTCTCTGAGTGAGTCTCAAGTAGAAATAAGTCTTGAGATAAGGCTTCTGATTAAGAGCTGACTGCCCTTAATTTAGGGAAATGAAAAAGTATTCCCTTGATGTGTTTGCAAGCATGGAGTTTTAAAATAAAGTGAGACAGGGATGCCTGGGTGGCTCAGTCAGTTAAGTGTCAGCCTTCGGCTCCCGTTATGATCCCAGGGACCTGAGATCGAGTCCCATACTAGGCTCCCTGCTCAGTGGGGAGTTTGTTTCTTCCTCTGTTCCTTCCCCTACTCGTGATCCCGCTCTCTGTCAAATAAATTAATAAAATCTTAAAAAATATAAAATAAAATAAACTGACACATATCTCTAAAATAAAAGGAAAATATCTTTTTTTTTTTTTAAAGATTCTATTCATTTTGACAGAGAGAGACACAGTGAGAGAGGGAACACAAACAGGGCGGGGGAGTAGGAGAGCAGGGAGCCCAAAGCAGGGCCTGAACCCAGGACCCCGGGATCACAAACCCAAGCCAATGGCAGATGCCCAACGACTGAGCCACCCTGGCACCCCAAAAGGAAAATATCTTATTAATGAATTTAAACTTTAATAGCTCTAACACCAGATAATTAAAACTGTTGTAATTTTTAAAAGTTTAAATCACCATAAAACTACTTTAAAAACACATTTAAAAAATTATTATCAAAAATAAAAATGAAAAAATTCACCAAAACCAACAGATCAAACTGTTCTCCTGGGTCATCTATCCTGTCAGAATTTATAAGCATACATAAATTTCATACTCTGTTGATCACAACATATATTAACTATAAGAAAGCAGAATATAAAACTACATGAGAGGCACTCCCACTGTGCCTAATTAATATGCATAAAATATTTTAAAAAACTTATCTCTACTATTTTACCATTTTCTTCAAACTTCCACAGTTCTGTAACAAATGCTAATTTTGTTAACTGCACAGGCAATACATAAAAGCCTTTCCTAACAGATAGCAGATGTTATCTGAAATAGCTTCAAAAATCACTTTAAAAATGTTGAAAAATTAACACAAGCTTCTACTATGTCAAAGCTTCTCCATCTTCAGTGTGCATGTGAGTCATCTCTGGGATCCTATGAAGAAGCAGATTCAGACTCAGTAGGTCTGTGGTGGGCCTGAGCCCGCGAGTTGAACATGCTCCCAGCGACGCTCGTGCAGCTGGTCCAAGAACGGCCCTGGCAGCCGGAGTCTACCGCAGGAACGGCCAACAGGCTTAACTAGTGTCGCTGCTCAGTAACACCGAATGTCATACAAAAAATCTTAGTAGAAAAAGTTTTCCTGACAGTCAGTGAATGTGACACAGACTCTGTTAAAATATCCTATACTCACAAAATTATCAGAAGTAGCAGGTTTAGCTGTTCCGTTGGAAACCGTTTTTGAGACTCTTAATTTTATTCCTTCAGCTATAACGAGAAACATTATGGAGAGAAATATATAAATTAGAAAATGTTATTTTCTTTCATAATCTCACATTTAATAACCCAACAAAGATATGTTTATATAGAGAGATTTATATGTATACTAATTATTCACATATGCGTATATTTAAAGAAGAGTTAATACTGGAAGCTTCAGGCAGGGTGCTGACTTTAACATACAACTTGGAAATGTAAGAGGAAAGGCAAAAATTAATAGATTTCACAAATGTTTCCAATAACAACAAGGTTTTCAAGATGCTAGTTTAGAATTCTAGTTTTAGAGGAATTTAAACATATAAGCAAACATAAATACATATTTCCTTAGATAGTTTCAATACATTTTAAAGTTTATGGATTTAAAAAATCTATAGATGAGGCGCCCGTGTGTCTTAGTCAGTTAAGCGTCTGCCTTCAGCTCAGGTTGTGATCCTGAGGTTCTGGATCAAGTCCTGCATCACGGTCCCTGCTCTCTAGGGAGCCTGCTCCTCCCTCTGCCTCTGCCTCTCTCTCTCATGAATAAAGAAAATCTTTAAAAAAATAAAGTAAAAATAAAAATCTGTAGAATTTGCAGTATCATATTTAATAATAAAACATCTTTGGCTATGCCTTTACTTCTCTGATGTGTACATTTTGGAATGTACCTATGGTCAAAATAAAATAGGGAAGAGGATTTTCTTTCTTCCTATCTGACCGAGGCTCTCCTTTCTGCCAGCAGTTTCAGAGCAGAGGTTAAGAGCATGAGTCCTGGAACTAGACTGCCCCATCTAGGATTCTGGGTCCCCCTATGCAAGCCTGGGCAAAGCAGTTAACTTTCTGTGACTCAGTGTCCCCAGCAACACAATGGGATAATACTGATCTCCACCTCATAGGGTTCTGATGAGCATTAAACAAGTTAGTGTATACAAGGTGTCTGACATGTAATTTATGTCCCATAAATATTCATCTTAATTATTAAAATAATTTGCAAATCCTGTTTCTCCATAAACAAGGTCAATTGGTATATTATAATCATGAAGTGCTATAATGAATGAAAATGAGGTTCCTTGATCAAAAAATGTTTCCATGGGGGCATTTATTTTTTTTTTAATATTTTATTTATTTATTTGACAGAGAGACACAGCGAGAGAGGGAACATAAGCAGGGGGAGTGGGAAAGGGAGAAGCAGACTTCCCGCCAAGCAGTGAGCCCGAACATGTGGGGGACCGAACCCAGGACCCGGGTATCATGACCTGAGCTGAAGGGAGACACTCAATGACTGAGCCACCCAGGTGCCCCTCCATGGGGATATTTAAAATCCCAACATTTGGGATCTATTCTCTCAATGGGGCAATACACTGATTTTTAAAATTAAGGTGCAATACAGATAATAAAATACACAAATTTTAAGTGTACAGTCTAGGAGATTTTACAAGCATATACACTTGTGTAACTACCATCTCAGGTGAGACCTTTAACATTTCCAACATTACAGAAGGTTCTTTAAATTCCTTTCTGGTCAATCTTAATCCTACCAGAAGCAATCATTGTTCTGATTCACATAATCACCACTGCTTAGTTCTGCCTGTTCTGGAATTTCACATATAGAACCATAATCCATGGGCTCTGTATTCTTTTGGATTTGCCTGCTTTCACTCAACATAAAGGTTTTGAGATTTATGTTGCAGTGTTGGTTACTTTTGAGATGGAACAGGAGCCCGCTGTGTGGGCTACTTTATCTACTGTGTGGGTCACATTGCGTGGGTATACCACAAATACTTATCTATTCATCTGTTGATGGACACTGGGCTATATCCAGTTTTAAACTATTAAGAATAAACCTGCTGGAAAATAATAGTGTACATCAGTGTCTTTCTATGAATATCACTTTCATTTCTATAATTTTTTCTGGATAAATAGCTTGGCATAGAATGGCTGGGTTGGGGGCGCCTGGGTGGCTCAGTTGGTTAAGCGACTGCCTTCGGCTCAGGTCATGATCCTGGAGTCCCGGGATAGAGTCCCACATCGGGCTCCCTGCTCAGCAGGGAGTCTGCTTCTCCTGCTGACCTCTCTCCTCTCATGTTCTCTCTCTCAAATAAATAAATATAGTCTTTAAAAAAAAAAAAAAAGAATGGCTGGGTTGTATGGTAGGCATAGGATCAACTTTTTAATAATCAATTTTTAAAAAAATTTTTAGAACCAAATTGTTTTTTTAAAGAAGTCTTAGTACTTTACATTCCTTCCAGTAGTGTCTGAGTGAGCTAGCTCTTCCACATCCTCTCCAACATTTCATGCTGTCAGTCTTTTAAATTTTAACCATCCTAGTGGGTATGTGGTGGTTTCTCACTCTAGTTTTAATTTGTGTTTCCCTGATAACCAATTATACTGAGCACCTTTTCACATGCTTATTAGTCATTCCTTTGTCTTCTTTGGTGATGTGTCTATTCAAGTATATTTTTGTTTTTACAAATTGAGTTATATTTTATTGATTGATAGGAATTTTACTTATATTTTGGATACAAGTCTTTTCTCAGATATATGTACAGAGAATTTTTTATTCAACTCTCAGCCTGGTCCTTTGTTTTCTTGTTTCTCTGGATGAGTATTTTAATTTTTGTAAAGTCAACTTACTAGTTTTTAAAATTGTATGGTAACTGCTTATGTTCTAAGAAACTGTCTAACCTAAGGTTTTTAAGATATTTTGTTTTCTTTCAGATGAGTTAATAGTTTTTTGGGGGGGAGGGAAAGGAGAGGGAGAGAGAGAATCCTAAGCACGTTCCATACCCAGCTCAGAGCCCAACATGGGGCCCAATTTCACAACCCTAAGATCATGACCTGAGCTGAAATCAAGAGTCAGACATTTAACCGACTGAACCACCCAGGTGCCCGCAGAAGAGTTATAGTTTATGTTCTCACATCTAGGTCTGTGGTCCATCCTGAATTTATTATTATGTGATATCTGTATAAGGAGTCTAGGTGAATTTTCCTCCATGTGTTCATCTAGTTGTTCCAGAACTCTTTGTTGACAATACTATTCTGTCCTCATAGAACATCTTGGTTCTCTTGTAAAGATCAGTTGATGAATGAGGTTTCCAGTTTGGAGCTACTTTAATTATTGCATTCCTTTTATTATTAATATCTTTAAATTTTATTTATTTATTTATTTATAGAGGGGGGACGGGCAGAAGGGGAGGGAGAGAGAGAATCCCAAGCAGACTCCACGCCTAGCAGGGGCTTGATCTGGGGCTAGATCCCACAATCCTGAGATTGTGACCTAAGCTGAAACCAAGAACAGGACTTTCAACCAACTGGGTCCCCCAGGTGCCTTTGTTGCATTCCTTTTAAAAAGCAAAACCTTTAGAAACCTACCATGTGAAATCAACTGGGTACTTCGAAAAGTACATTCTTCAGAATGTTTTTACTTAATGCAGTAACGACAACGGTATCAACTGACCGTATAAGTGTGGATTTATTTCTGGACTTTTTTATTTTTTAAAGATTTTACTTATTTATTTGACAGAGAGACACACACAGAGAGAGGGAACACAAGCAGAGGGAGTGAGGGAGAGAGAGGTAGGCTCTCCACTGAGCAGGGAGCCTGATGCAGGGCTTGATCCCAGGACCTGGGATCATGACCTGAGCCAAAGGCAGATGCTTAATGATTGAGCCACCCAGGTGCCCCTGAACTATATTTTGAAACACTGCTGTGTTTCTCCATCCTTCTGCCAATATCACACTATCTTGATTAGTATAACTTGAAATTTTTATAAGTCTTGAAATTACTATAAGTCCATTAATTTTATTTATTGAGATAGAATTTCCACACTATAAAATGTACCATCTTGAAGTGTACAATTCGGTAGATTTCAGGACAACCATCACCACTAATTTCAGAAGATTTTCTGGATGCCTAGGTAGCTCAGTCAGTTAAGCATCTGCCTTCTGCTCAGGTCATGCATGACCCCAGGGTCATAGGATCGAGTCCCACATTGGGCTCCTTGCTCAGAGGGGAGCCTGCTTCTCCCTCTGCTTTTCCCCTCATTCCTGCTCTCTCTTTCTGACAAAAAAAAATAGTATCTTTAAATGGTACTTTTTTAAAAAGATTTTTTCTTTATTTGACAGAGAATGAGAGAGAGCACAAGAAGGGGGGAGCAGCAGGCAGAGGGAGAGGGAGAAGCAGGCTTCCCGTTGAGCAGGGAGCCCAATGTGGGGCTCAATACCAGGACCCTGGGATTATGACCTGAGCCAAAGGCAGATACTTGACCCTCTGAGCCACCCAGGTGCCCCAATAAATAAAATCTTCAAAAAAAAAAAAAAAAAAGAAAAGAAAAAGGAAGGAAAGAAAGAAACAACAACAAAAAGATTTTCGTTACCCTAAAAAGAAACTGCATTTCTATCATTCTGTCTCTATGGATTTAACTTGTTTTTTTTTTTAAATAATGCTCCTTTTAATAAAAAATTGTTTTTTTATTTATACATTTCACAGAAAGAGAGGTCACAAGCAGGCAGAGAGGCAGGGAGGGGTGGGGCGGGGGAGGGGGGGGGGAAGCAGGCTCCCTGCGGAGCAAAGCCTGGTATGGGGCTTGATTCCAGGACTCTGAGACCATGATGTGAGCCAAAGGCAGAGGCTTAACCTACTGAGCCACCCAGGCACCCCTCTATGGATTTTCCTTTTATGGACTTTTCATTTAACTGGAATCATACAATTTGTGATCTATAGGATTGGCTTCTTTCACTTAGTATAATGTTTTCAAGATTTGTCCATGTTGTAACTACAAGAATGTTTGGGCTCCTGAATCATGTTCTCTGCTCAGTGGGGAGTCTGCTTCTTTCTCTGCCTCCCCCTACCTATGCCCATGCTATCTTAAATAAATAAATAAATAAATAAATAAATAAATAAGAATGTTTGGGCTCTTCTAGGTCCTTTACTTTTTCACACGTATTTTAAAATCAGATTAACTGGGGCACCTGAATGCCACAGTCGGTTGAGCATCTGACTCTTGATTTTAGCTCAGGCCATGATCTCAGGGTCCTGGGATCAAGCCCCATGTCAGGCTCAGTGCTCAGTGGGGTGCCTGCTTAAGATTCTTTTCTCCCTCTGCCCTACCCCCATGCTCTCTCAGTCTTTCTCTCTAAAATAAATTAAAAAAAAAAAACCAACTCTCTAAAATAAGTAAATAAAATCTTTAAAAAAAAATAAAATCACATTAACTATTTTTTTTAAGGTCAGTTAGAATTATGATTGGGATTGCACTGATTCTACTCATCAGATTATGGTACTGACTGCTTAATAATATTGAGATTTACAATTCATAAACATATTATAGCCCTACACTTACTTATTCTCAGCAACTGAATTATGTATTGTTGCCTTAACAAATGTTCCAAGTACTATGGTTAAAATTAATAAAATGAGGGGCGCCTGGGTAGCTCAGTGGGTTAAAGCCTCTGCCTTCGGCTCAGGTCATGATCCCAGGGTCCTGGGATCGAGTCCCACATCAGGCTCTCTGCTCGGAGGGAAGCCTGCCTCCCCGCCCTCTCTATGCCTGCCTCTCTGCCTACTTGTGATTTCTGTCAAATAAATAAATAAAATCTTAAAAAAAATTAATAAAATGATAAAGTGCTATGTAGAAATTAATTGAAAGATGAAAATAGCACTAAAACTATAATTACAAATGCTATGGGAATGAATAGATATCGATAATTCTGAAAAGCAAGAAGAGGTGATTCAAGAAAATTTAGCAACCCTCGTTAAGAAGATTATTAGAAGCTAAGCAAAATCTAAACTAAATTATTAGTGTGAAACAGTATACCTACTTTAATACGTAGACTAAAAGCAAACAAGTAGCAAAAGCTCAAACTACATTAATGATCATGAAAATTTCGTTACTGACTTCCTTTTGTGACTGTCTACCATAAAAGGGGTTTGGGCAGATATAGTTTTAAAATAATTTTAATAGGAAAAAAAATATATCTGACTTTGCATCATAAGTAAAGGTACAATACAATGGTCATTTAATAAGAAAACATGTCACTTACTTAAATTTTCAGATGGTACCATAAATTCTTCAATTTCATCATCAGAATCATCGATTAATGGCATGAAGGCATATCTACATCAGAAACAAGGAGTAGTTTTACTAGTATATTTAAACCTGTTCGGTTTTCAGTTGATATCTAAAAGCGTCATTACATACAGAAATATTTACATTTTAAAAATTTCTTATAAATTCAAATAACGAATATTTAACTAATTTTACTCTCAAATTAGGAAAAATTATTAGCAATCCAACAGTGAAGCTGGAGCTCCAAGCCCTGCTGGTGAAAGTGTAACTGGTAAGATCTTTCTGGAAAGCAGTTCTTCAATGTTCAGGGAAGGGAACTTCCTGCTCTACTTTTTTTCTCCCTGTTAGGTTTACCCTCCCTGCCAATACTTGTTAACTTAATCCCTAACGAAAGGTAAACTGCTAATCTTACTGGTGAAAATAAAGCGTACTGACTGAGCCACATTTGCTAGGTAAAAAATACATTCAGAAAGCATTACTGATAATAACAATAATCCTAGAAGCAAAGTGCTTAATAATTAGGGACTGCTTCTATAAATTAGGCTACATTCATATCATGGAATGCCAAAGAGCCATTAAAAATAATGTGGGAGATCGAGGGAGAGCTGGCTGGCTCCATCAATAGAGCATGCTGCTCTCAACTTCAGGGTCGTGAGCTGAAGCCCCACATTGGGCATGGAGCCTACTTAAAAAAAAAATGGGGTAGATCTATACAAGATGATATGGAAAGAAACATCTTAAACAAGAAGGTGAAGAGCAGTGTATATGTGTATGTATGTATTTCTGCATAATTATTATATACTTTTACAAAAAAGATGTATCTATTTATGAGAGAGAGAGAGAAAATGTGTGTGTGTGTGTGTGTATGCGCGTGCGTGCGAGCACACATGCACAATGGGGTGGGGCAAAGGAGAGAGTCGTAAGTAGACTCGGCACTGAATTTGGAACCTGACTCAGGGTTTGATCTCATGACCCTGAGATCATGACCTGAGCCAAAACCAAGAGTTGGACGCCTAAGTGTGCCACCCATGTGTCCCAATTATTATGTACTTTTAAAAAGAGAGGGAGAGTGGGGCACCTGGGTAGCTCAGTGGGTTAAAGCTTCTGCCTTCGGCTCAGGTCACGATCCCAGAGTCCTGGGATCAAGTCCCGCATCAGGCTCTCTGCTCAGCAGGGAGTCTACTTCCCTTCCTCTCTCTCTGCCTGCCTCTCTGCCTACTTGTGATCGCTGTCTGTCAAATAAATAAATAAAATCTTAAAAAAAAAAAAAAAGAGAGGGAGAAACACAACACACAGTATATACTTTTCAGTTCCCTAGAAGGGCATTCAAGAAACTTCACAGCCCTTTCCCTGGGGAAGAGGAGTGAGGCGAGGGCAGGTGGGCTTTTCCATCACATGCAGCCAATGGAACAACCTAAACTTATGACTCAAGCTCCTTCTGATTTTGGCCCCACCTTTCCTTTTCAGCTTTACTTCCCTCCAATGTAAGCAGTATTAACCAAAATCAAATGCCTCAATGACCACCAAGGTATACCATGTTTTCCCCCACTACCTCAGAAAATGTACATTCTTTCTCAGCTCAGCTTTTCATGGTTCTGCTTCTTTCCTCTAGGAAGATGCTGCCTTTCAAGGAGGCTTCCTCATCCCTCTTCGGTCTTCCCCCGGACTTCCTAGTTCATACAAATCTTATTTCACTGTCTTGCATTATGTCCGTCTCCCTACTTGACTGTGTACTCCTTTAAAAGAGAGGACTACTTTCTCACTTTCTATAAATGGGTTTTTATTTGAACACAGGAGCAGTGATCAACAAATGCTTGCCAAACTTCCATTTTCCTATGTTAGGTACCTCTGATTGTTTGCTGACGGTCTCCACAAAAACATTATTACAATAAGGATAAGTGAAAAAAGGAAGCTCCAAAATGCATCATCAACCCAGCGTTCCATCCAATCCTATAAGGACAATTCAAACACAAAATGTTAATTTTGTGATAAACACAGATAGATTTCCCGTTCAAATAGTGTACAACGACAAACATGAATGAAATCTTTCTAACCAGTCCATCTTCCAAATCAGTACATGTTTTTTTAACAAAATAAAAACTAAGAAGAGCTCTTTATCAAATTAACATGAATGCCTACTTCAGCCTTATAACTAATCAGATAAGTAAAACCCTAACACAAATTATATACTAGAGCATCATAAAGAACTTCCCAAAATAGTATAATTAAAAATGAAAACTATTTAAATAGGAAGATTATACTTACTGATTGACATTTTGCAATTCTAAATGTCTTGGTCGTCCACACCATAAACACTATAGAAGCTGAAACACACCAAAGAAGTCACCTTTGAAGGAACATGTAATACTGAAATAATTATTATAATAAGAAAATTAAATAGCTTACCCAGTACAGCAAAGATCAGAGTATTTGTAAAGTGCCTGTATAAAGAAAATTTCACTGTATTCTTTCTTAGTCTTAGAGTCTTCATAGTTTGTGCCAAACTTATAAATATGTGCAAAAAATTAAGGAAAGACATTTTAAATAGTAATAAACAGTTTAAAAACAAAATAAGAATCTCCTACTACATTTCTAAAATTAGTACTGGTAAATATAGTTCCTGTAAAAATACAAAAAATATTACTTTAACCAATATTGTATGACCACGATACTGATTTTATCACAAATCTTGCTTTACATTTTACTAATGTCTGAACTAACTAAATTCTGGGGAATACAAAAGGCAAGAAGCCCTATGATGTTCTCCTTCAATGCCCAGCTCCCAAAATACAGGATAGAGCAGTATATACATTAAACAACGAGCCCTCTTCCACCTTAGGCCAGTGACTCTTACAGATCACATTATGACATGCCCTTAGGCTTGTGCCTTTGTCTCTGTTTCTTATTTTGTTCTTTCCAGTCTACTCTCTTTTTATCCTCTGAATGACCATAAGTAAGAAGGGAGGTCATCTATCAATTCCACTGTATAAATTGAAAAATGAAATATGTTAAATAAAACAAATCTGGACTTGGGCCAGGAAAGAGATTACTTCAACAGGCAGAGGAGGTTTACTGCCATGGGGAGGATTTTCCAACTCATAAGATCTGTAAGAGTCCCACAGGTCAGGCCAGACAGGGCTTTGTTTTTGTAGGGAGGGTAAACAAGACTGGAAAGCAGGTGTGGGGAAGTGGGTGACATGACTGGCCAGCTGCTCAGGCAGTCACTTTCCCTGAGGTGTGCAGATTCTCAAGAGGGGCCACTGAGTAGGGCTGTGGTGGACAAAGGCTCAGGGACCTAGGGAGGGAGACTGCTTAGTCTGGTGCAGGGAGGGAGACTGCTTAGTTTGGCCAGATTGGTCAGTGGGGAAACAGGTCTGGCCTTGTCACTGGTAACAAGGGGGCATCTGGGAGTCTCATGTAAGTCCTATTGGACTTATGTCTCCTTTAAGTTCTTTGGAGTAAGCCTTTTCCTGGAACACGAAAGGGTGGGGGTTTTCGTAACCAGGGCTGTTTTCCAGGAGCACAGGGGTCAGGTAAAGCTCAACACTGTCAAGTACGAAGAATCAAAAAGAGGCTTCTCCACTGATTCCTTGGCAATGAAGCCGGGATTCAAGCCAGGGCTCTCTTTGTAAATGGGAGTTGCTTCTTCTGGAGCACACCACCAGCTTTGTTCCTGAACCATATGCCAAAAACAGAGTGGAGCAAAAGAACAGAAGCAGCAAACTTTGTATTTATGCCTATTTTAAATTTCGAATACTTCATGAATCAGAAACTTCATGGTAGTACTCACAAAACTGCTATTTAGTCTTTCTAAATGACCAGTGAGTTACAAAAGAAGATCAATTTCTAAAATAACACAATACAACCAATTAAGGCTACTGTCAGAATTTACAGAAATGTAAATACGCTGTATTCATTTAACATTATCAAGAGAAATACTTTTTTTCAAAATTCTTGACTGAAATGAATTTTCTATGTTAAAAATATGGTCACACTGAATAATTCAAAAGCATTTCTGAGAAGCCGAGGAATAAAAAGATCAGAAGCAAATTCAAAACTGCCTAAACCTCCCCTTACCAGGACACCGTTAAATTTAAGTAAAGCTTAAATCATTTCTCCCCTTAAAGGAAAGTGGTGACAAAAGCAAACAGTCCTGGTCATCCTGAGGTGAGAAGCAACGGGAACGTGCTGTTGCAGTAGGAAAAGGATATCCACCAGCACAAGCCAGAGTCAAGGAGAGAGAGAGGGAGACTGGCCAGAAGCACAAGATCAGAGTCACTTGCCTGCAGCAAAACAGCACACAATTAAAACAAGCAGGAGAAAAAGAGGAAGGGGGCTTCATGAGAAAAGCAATGGCTTTGATTTCTTCAGGTTATTTCTAGTTTTACTTCAGAACCAGACTGTTACAGGATAGCTATGTTAGGTTCATCGAGCAAAGCAGAGTCGTCACAGAAGCGCTCAGTTCTGTATATAGACCTGCTTCTTTTGCTTGCCATTTGTAATAATTTAAAAAATCTACTCTCTGTCAAATAGCCATCTAAAAGCAAACATAGGAAAATCAGGTGCCAGCTGAAATGGACAAAGTTTCTTCATCTCACCATGAAACACTAACCAAGATAATTTTAATTTCTAGATTTCTTTATGACTCGTATTTCAAACTGCCTTATTAAAAATATTGATCATTAAGCAAACTAAATTTTTTCCTTGTTTCTCTTATCTCCCCATTCCAATTTGGCGCATTATGTGTTGGAATGTTCCAAAGTTAACACTGTCCATAAAGGTGATAAATTACCCTCATTCAAATCTCGATGGAATTGGGCCTTTAGAGCTGCTTGTCTTTGGAAGTTCCTGCCAAGCTGCATTACTGTTTTTTCCCAGTGAACTACCTTGTGGATGGTTAAGAACAAATCTTTGAAAAACGTATCAGTAAATCACCAAGAAAAAAGATAATACAGATTTTTAAAAATTCCAGGTCTATAGCTCAGTTAGTTGACTGAAAAACATACTCGCTAACTTCTTAAAGGTTCCAAACATATATACCTTTGGAGACAATTCCAGATTAAGCAGATTATCTTAAGCTCACTTTCTAAATGCACAATGACAGAAGGGAGGAAGTGAAGATCTGGAGCTGGCAATGCTGAGACCAGCAGCTAGGTTCATCTTCACCATGATTTTGCCCATCCTGTTGGCACGTAAGTTCATCCTACCTGCCCCTTCTCCTCGGGTCAGCCGAGAATCCCTAATGAGTGATGCGGCTGCGGCAGAACAGGAACCACGGCCCCTGGGGATTAGCTCTCATGGCCAGAGCACCGTCATGGGCAGAACTGAGCAATGTAGTTCACCTTTTTTAACAGCTCAATGTCTTTAAATGTGTTTTCATGTGGAAAATATAAAAATTACACTACTGTAAGCTTAGTATCATTCTTGGAAAGGATGTATTTAAGTATAATTTTTTTCAACAAACATGGATTCTAAACTAGTAGCTCTGAACAAAAGTAGAACAGATTTTTAAGCAAGTTCGGTCAGAAACAACTCTTTTAAATCAGGTATTATTTCTTAACTAGATACTCCTCAGACAGTAGGGAATCCATGGATATAATTTTGTGGACATTTTAAAATGCGCCACTGCACGCAAAACTTTTGTGGGGTGTGTGTTTCTAATCTTGTGAGAAGAGGCTCCCCAGCTTTCATTCGACTTTCAAAGGCATCTTTGGTCCCAGTACCCAAACAAGGCTAAGAACCACTGCTTTAGAGAGTAGGGATGGTAAATTAAAGGGCTTTTTTCTTTTGTTTTTAACTTGGAAGCATACTAAAAATTCACAAATAGGGAGTTTAAAGAGCAGACACACTGGGTTTGGAAGAAATCACCCACAGGGGACTCAAAAAGGCCATGTTTGTTAGCATGCCTGCAGAAAGAAGGACTTCCTTGCAGAGGAACACAGGCAAACTCAAGTCCTCTGGCCTTCCTACGAGAGGTAAAGATGAGAAAATGGAAAGAAATTACAAGGAAACAAAAGAACAGTTAATATTAAAAGCAAAAAGACAAGTATCAAAGACAAGGAAACAAACAAAAAACTTGGTAAAAATAAAATCTATCTATAGAAAAGAGTTTCAAAGAGGATGTAAATGCAGAAGAAAGAGATAAAAATAATGTTCTGGGATATGAGTAACACTGCATTCTGCTCTGACCAGGTCACAGTTTCTTTAGAGTTCCTCCCATTTCCTCGAATGCGAATTAGAGGGCTCTGCCTTGGAGTTAAACAGACTCCACTGGAGTCACTGAAGCAGCAAGGAGGGTCCTCAAGGTTACTTTGCGTCTAAAACTTCTCCTGCAGTAACATGGCGTCTGCCTCACCAGCGTCACTGAGGCTGCTCTCTTGCTGTCCCATTGTGACCTCTGGAATGACCAAAGCCACGTATACCCTAGCAGTTCATCTCTCTGTAGTACTGGCCACTGCTGACCACCCCTCTTTACCAAAGCTTCACCCCAGGACAATTTCTAGGTTCTTCTACCTCCCTCCACCCAGGTGTTTCTTCCATGCATGTTTCCACCCCCATTGGGCACCATCCTGGTCCTCTCCTCTCTCACTGGTCTATGTGTTCTTGGGTCACTTCCATGGGCTGCAACCTCTTTCACATGAAGATGACCTCCAACATTCATCACCAATTCCCATTCCTCTTACAAACCCAGACAGGGATTTCCAACTCTGCTTAACACTAATGCCTTAGGCAGCTCACATTTCATCCATTATGGTCCCTTCCCTAAGTTCATTGCCTTGGGGATGGCAACACTGTCCCCAGCCACCCACTGAGACAGCAAGACCTCTCTGGAGCTCTCTCCCTTCTTTTCCCACCCATTTCTACTAAGTCTATCATCTGGAGTCTTTTTTTCCATTCCCTCTGCCCTATTTTTAACCCTCACCATCTCTTTTTTGGACTACTGCAAATGACTCTTTATCAGACTTCCTATCTCTAGACTCTAGGATCTCCTTTTCCAGGTCATTTTTACATTTTTATTTGAGTAAGATTTTAAATTACTTCTATATCCAATGTGGGGTACGGACTTACAACCCTGAGATCCAGAGTTGCATGTTCTTGGGGCACCAGGGTGGCTAAGTTGGTTAAGTATCTGCCTTTGGCTCAGGTCATGATCCTAGGGTCCTGGCATCAAGTCCTGCATCAGGCTCCCTGCTCCATGGGGAGTCTGTTTCTCCCTCTGCTCCTCCCCCTGCCTGTGCGCTCGCTCTGTCAAATAAATAAAATCTTAAAAAAAAAAAAAGAGTTGCACACTCTTCCAACTGAGCCAGCCAGGTGCCCCTTCCAGGTCATTTTTAAATGTCATTCTTGAGTTCTTTCTAACACAGATTTCACCATGCTGCTCACCTGGGCAGCTTTGATTTCCTTTCCTTTCTCCCCACAGAAAGAACATGAGACTCTTGAGCACGTCATTCTACCTTTCCCTTCCGGCCCCGCCTTCCATGGTTCTCCCACATACATCCACTTATAAGTAAGCTACTCTGGGACTTTCTATCACTGCCCCCATATTTTCATGTGTCCACTATTTGTTCCCCTCTATTCTTCCCAGGATGCCTTTCCCCCAATTCTTTTCCCAATTAACCCAATCTGTTCCCTTGGTCACAATTTAATGTCACCACCTCTGTTGAAGTCTTCCCTGGTTTTTGCACTGCAATTACTTTCTCTTTCCTCCTGTTTGCACAGCACCTCTTTAAAATGGCAATTACTATTGCTATATTGCTCTGAGTTATATGTTTGTCCTCCCTCCCAGAGTGTGAATTCCTTAAACACAGGGACAATACCTTTTTCTTCTCTGCCTCCTCAGCACAGGGCACACAGTGAGTACTTAAGTTTGCTGAACTAACAGAAAAAATAAAAGATATTCTTTGTTTGGGGAATGATTGCTTTTTCACCTTTAACTAAATTCCTATACTGAGGTTAAAAATAATGTATACCTACATTTCTTTCTATTATAAATACAAACTGAAAGTAACCTGATTTTAATGGTACAGCCAACTACTTTAGGACATGGTAAAGGATATGAACCATACAAAAATGGAGTCAATAACTGCCAAAATAATGTCACCAAAAAGAACAGCTAAATGGTTAGAACCCTGAAAGATAAAAATGGAGGAAAAACCTGAATGTAAACATTTCATTGTATCATAGAAATTATATGAAAAAGAAAAACAATTTAGTTCATCTCATCCCTTTACAAAAGCCACATAAAAGTTTTATTCCTAGAAAATTTGTGTCTAAGCATATGGAAATTTTTGTTTTGGCAGCAACGTCTACCTATTCAATCACAATGTAAAAACTGTATTATGAAATGGCAAGTAAAACGTGTCATGTGTCCCGCCCCACTTAGGTCAATTTCAATCTCTCCCCTCTCCACACCAAACCTATAGCCAGGGCCACTAATGAAGTGGGCTCCTGATCTTTCCTACTATCCATGAAGGGACATGAAAAAAAGAAAGAAAAGGAAGTGTGGAATGGTAAAAACAAACCATAGGTGAGACATTTTGATCACAAGTTGACAGAAAATTATATTGAAGATGTTGGCAATGTAAAATTTTAAAGAAATACTATATATATATATATATATATATATATATATATATATATCTGTATGTGGGATATTTATCTTTTTTCTTTCTAGCAAGGACTAGTTCCTGTAAATTATATACACAAATGCAAAGCTCTTCACTAGTCTGTACAAGTAAAAATAAATGTACCTTTCAAAGAGTCAAAGATGGAAAGCACAGGTGTATTTAATATAGAAGGCAGATGTATCAAAGATAACAGAAAGAAGGAGAACAAGGCTTTTAACAAATTGAACAAATGGCCTGCTTCAAGATCAAAATATGTGAAGTAAACGTAATCTGCAACATAAGATCATTCACTCCGTGCAGTGATCTGATTAACACATCTAGTCCAAAAAACATTTTGGGTAAAAATTACTAGGTCCTGTGAATAAAGGAAAATATAATAAGCTGATTAATCACTCAGTTGTCAACCATACTATTAAGAAAAGCGGAGAGCTAGAAATCTAGGGGTTTTCCCAGATATAAATGTTCTGCCTCCTCTTAGAGAGTAAAGCACTGTGGCCCACATTGCCTGAGTCATTTCCCCCTGGATGCTAACTTTTCATGGTTCTTCCAAGAAGGGAGTCCACTGAATCTCTACACACTGGGTCCCCAAGAGCCGGAGAATACTTATAACCAAATGAGACTTCAGAGTGACGCGCTGTAATGTCTGCATGTGTGAAGGGTACAGTTAATTCTATTCACTTCCACGTGTTCAGACCAAGGGTTAAGGAAGAAATGAATGTGTTCAGACTTCATAGTGACAAAGACAAATGTTCTTTATAAAGAATAACCATGAGCGTTTTGAAATGGAAACAATTCCTGAGCTGACATCAAGTGGTGCCTTCATAATCAGTCAGACTTTAAGAAGTGCTCTGTCTAGACTTTAACTACTTTCAGGAAGTATTTAAAAAGGGAAATATTCCTTAGGGGGAACAGAAAAACTCAAATTGGGCCTTTTTCATAAATGTCCTATCTTTAAAAGTTCAAATTAGGGGATGGAAAGTAAAACCGTATTTCATAGCAAAAAGGGATGGAAGTGGAATTACGTGGTTTTTACCCCAATAACTCTCATCACGCCTTCAATAGCTGCGAAGATAAAGTAAAGAATCCCCAGTCCGACCACCCGGTGCATGACTGTTCCTAAACGGGGCCTGAAATGAGAAAGAGAAAACAGGGGAAAAAAGAAAAAGAAAAAGCACCAGTAAGTAAAATACATCTGAATATAGTAACTGGTCCCATTTCCAACATAGAGAAGTCATCATCTAGTCAGATCAGTCTGCCCCCCGGATCCAGCCTCTGCTTCCTCAGTTTAAAAAAAAATATAGTCTATTTCCCAGGAACAGGGCACAAACAGGCTTAGGAGAAACAGGCCTCCTGCTCTAGGCCTGGAAGCTGTACTGATGCCCACCAAGCAACACACTGAGGCCGCCCAGGTGCCAGAGGGTTAGCATAAGCAGGTACTCACTGCACCGGCTGGAAGGGGGCTTGAGGAAACCTAGGAGGCTAAGAGCCAACTTGTAAGTGTCCCTGGCAGAAACAGTAACTTAATTCTTTCATGAACATTACTTAAAAACTGTTCTGGGATATGTTTTGTTAGATAATCCACTGATTTTCTGACTTGGGCAGAAAAAGAACAGGAGTATTAGCCGTTTGTATTCTCTTCCCTTTCTTCTCTCAATCCCAAAACAAGAGGGCTAACACACTGTAGCTTCCATTCTTTACACTGAAAAAATTAAAATAACATTTTTGGTTCTTTAAAAATATCAATGATTTGGGAAAATGCAAAGACAGTGATTTTTGTGATGAGCAATTTGAAAACAGAAATTTCATGAAATCTGCAAATCAGAGCACAAACATTTCAGCTCCAAAACCCTCTGGCCAGAGTAATTCGAAGAAAAAACTAATTTTGGAAAAATACTTAATGTAGTCACTTTAAAACAAAATCCAACTAAAAATTCAACTAATAGCCACAGCTTATATTTAAGACTCTGTATCTGATTTAATTCACCTAAATTCTGACTCATTACAGTCCCCTAACTCGAACCTTCCACCTGCGAGAACCATGAGTGCTCTAAAGTTCGTAACTAGAACTGTGGGTTGTATAAGATTCCACACGAGGACTCTGTATTCTGTATACTGTATTAAGGCCAAAAACAAACTTCCCAAGACCCCAAAAAGCATTTGAGAAGGAATCTCAATAAATACCCAATGGAAAGAAGGTTTCCTGGCCAAAATCTTCCTAACTACATCAATCCCAAGCTCACAAGTATATGTGTGTGCATTCAGTGCATATTTACAGAGGGCCTACTATGTGCCAGGAACTACACTGGGGCCTTAAGCAGCAGGACACAAGACAGGCAAAGCTCCGACTCCGCAGAAGTCACATTGAAGCGGGGGGAAAAGACAACAAATCCTAATATATGCATCAAGCAGTGCTTTAAGAGGGGTGAGGGTCCGAGTGACCGGGGAGGGTGTGTACCCCATTGCAAATCCCAACAGCGCTAGCCTCCCTGGGAGAGGAAGGTGAGCAGAGGCAAGAGTGAGGAAGCAAATTGTGTCCAGGATCCCAGGATCCAGGGGAAGACACTTACAGGCAGAGGCCTTTATCGCACCGTTGGGGAAGTGTCTGTTGTGTTTAAGGAACAGCAACAGCAATAAAGCCAGCAGGACAGGGCAGTGTTCAAAAAGGGAGAATGGCAGGAGGTGAAGTCAGCCATCTAAGAAACCACAGAAGGGAGTTGGGTTCATTTAGCAAGATGGGTGCAAAAGTAATGAGATCTTTGTTATGTTTAAAAAGGATCATCTCGGCGGATGCTGTGTCTAAAAAGACTGACTGGAGACCAGGACAGATGCAGGGAAACCAGTTAGGAGGGTACTCGAGTCATGTAGGGAGAGACGATGGTGTTTGGAACCAGGGTAGTGGCTGTAGAAAGGAGGGGTGGCTTCACTCTGGGTGTGCCCTGACATTAGAGCCAAGAAACTGGATGAGCGTGCCCCAGGAACGTGAGCTGCTGGAACAGAGGTCTGGGGCCTGAGCCTGGAGCACTTCAGTGTTGGAGTTCAGGAAGACAGAGTCCAGCAGGGAAGCTGGGGAGGAGGAGCCAGGGCTCTAAGACTCAAACTGCCACAGGGCCCTTGCACAAAGGCTGAGCAAGGCCATGTGGTTTGGCAACAGAGGTCCAGGTGACTGACAAGAGCAGTCTCGTTGGAGGAGTGGAGGCAAAAATCTCATTAGGGTATATTCAGAAGAAAATGAGGGAAGTTGAAGTGGCAAGTACAGACAATGCATCTGAGAAACGATGCTGCACAGGGATGAATAGAAACGAAGGCGGGGCGGGGGGGCGCCTGAGTGGGGGTGCCCTTAACCCACTGAGTGGCTCAGTGGGTTAAAGCCTCTGCTTTCGGCTCAGGTCATGATCCCAGGGTCCTGGGATCAAGCCCCACATCGGGCTCTCTGCTCAGCAGGGAGCCTGCTTCTCCCCCCGCCTGCTTCTCTGCCTACTTGTGATCTCTCTCTGTTAAATAAATAAATAAAATCTTAAAAAAAAAGAAAAAGAAACAAAGGGGAAGCAGAGGAGAAGGCCAGCGGGGATGGGGGTTTGCTTCGGAAGATGACCAAAGTACCAGCATGCTGATAGCAGTGACGTCCCTCAGGGAAACGGATGACCCCAGAGGAAACACGGCCGGCTGCTGGAGCAGCCACTGGACACATGAGAGGTGACAGGATCCAGAGCACAAGGGCAGGGGCAGGACTTAACCACTGCCTTTCAAGAGGAAGAAAACGCTATACATGGTCCAGATGTGGGGGGACAGAACAGATTTGGTGGCAGGAATGCACTGAACTCCCTTCTGATGGCTTCCATTTCCCTGGGGAGTAAAGAACCAAGATCAGCTAAGATGGACATGGATAGGGAGTCTGAGGCTAGAGGGGAGAGAAGGGGGTAAAACAGTCTTCTGTAGAGTGGGAAAGGGACTGCCAACTGGCAAGAGGATCTAGAAACTGCCAGGGGCACTAAGGGCACACTTAAGAGTTCTGGGTTATGAAGAAGGGGAATGAGCCCACACTGTGGTCAGGCAGATTCTGCTGCTCGGGTATGAGCCTGAGGCTCGAGGGAGGCCAACAAGGAGAAAGGCAGAGAGCTTTGGGTGTACGTGGGCATTCAGCACCCTATAGGATCAATGGAGGATGGCAGGATCAACAGGCCAAAGCCACACTAGGATCAAAGAATGAAGTGAGCTGATCTGTTAGGAAAAGTAAAAGGGAAACAGAGACAATGACAGCTGAAAAGAGGATTAGCATTTGCAATGATAAAGAGGGTACAGTTAAATATAATAATAAAGTCTAGAAAGTGGAGTGGGAATCATAATTGAGGTGAGGGGACAGGTGAGAGCAGCTGAGGTGGGGAGGTGAGATCAGGTTACTCACAGGAGCACCCACAAGGATACGAAATCACAGGGAATTCTGGCACATGGGGAAGCGCTGAGAAACAGAGAGAAGCAATTACTCAGAGAATTAAGGGATGAGGGCAGAAATCTGGAACTTGAAAGGCAACTGCAGTAGGAAGATAAAGCAGGTGCTCCAGTTTGAAAGCTTGAGAGTTTTAAAGAAGGAGAACAGTCCAAACAAAAGGGCAGAGAGGATAAAGAGGACAAGCTCTTCCACGGTCATTCCCAGTGACTCATGGGCATGGGAGAGAAAAGATGGGGGCCAAGAGGGTCTGGAAGAAGCAGGGTCCTGCCTGGACCTGGCCTGGATGGCCAGGTTTTAGTCTGAAATCTGCTGACCTGTTTAGTCCTCTCTCCCTTACAATACTCAATTCTCAAATACAATCGTAAAAGCATAATTTGGGGTGACTGGGTGGCTTAGTCAGTTGAGCGTCCTACTCTTGATCTCAGCTCAGGTCTTGATCTCGAGGTCATGAGTTCAAGCCCTGCGTGGGGCTCCATGCACGGAGCTCCATGCTCCAAAAAAAGCATAACTATGTGTCTAGGAAAGAGAAAATGGTTCGAACTTTAAGAATCATTTAAAATTTTCCTATCCTTAAAGTTGATGACTTATTCATTTAACTATAAAAAGCCACTGGAGGGGCGCCTGGGTGGCTCAGTGGGTTAAGCCTCTGCCTTCGGCTCAGGTCATGATCTCAGGGTCCTGGGATTGAGCCCCGCATCGGGCTCTCTGCTCAGCAGGGAGCCTGCTTCCCGCTCTCTCTCTGCCTGTCTCTCTGCTTACTTGCTTACTCTCTGCTTATCTTTCTCTTTCTGTCAAAAAAATAAATAAAATCTTTAAAAGAAAAAAAAGCCACTGAAATTCAAATTCAAGATCTTTATCTGAGGACAGTGTAAAGTGGTCAGAACATGGAAATCCCTTAAAAACACCTTCTTGCAGGTGTTTCCCTACAGGGTTTGTAGAATGATACTGAGATGTGTCCAGTTTCACAGACTCATAATGTAGATGGGAGGAGTCACAAGACTGGAAGCTCGGTATCTTTCCAACACGCCAGTACTTACTTCACAATGCCGTAGCCCAGACTCACAATGATCACGAGGAGGCGAGCCAATGTCCTTTTAACTGCAGATATCAACTCTGCAAATATCAATAAACCTTGGGCTGTGGGGAGGAAAGAAAAGAATTCATTCTGTATACATCTAGAGGCCTGCCACCAAAATTCTAAATATGTACTGTGTATAACAACATTCGGACCCCAGGTGAACTGGCCATATTTACTTTAAAGGTCAACTAATCCATCTGATGTTTGAAAGCCTCATTGGAGGGGAATTTGTTACTCCTGGAGAATTCACTGACCCCATATTTGCCAGCACTATTGGGCACCGCTTGCATACATCAATCTAAAGCTGTCTCCCTCAATTTCCCTCTGTTCTTGTTGTTCCCCCTGAGGCTATGAAGAACTATATCACTTTCTGTCCTATGTATATTTGAAAACCATAAGGTCCTCTAGAGCTTTCTTTTCTCCAAGTTGCCTTCATCATTTATTCACTTATGCTCCTACTGTGTGACTATAATGGGAAAAGAGACACCATGATCACTGCCCTCATGAGATTATATTCTGGTTAGGACAAGTAAACAGACACAACAACACAACTCTGCGTGATGAGTGCTATAGGCAACACAGTATCTCCCAGGACTGTGAAGAAGCCAACCTAATCCACACCTGAGGGAGGTACAAGTGGGTTCTCAGAAGAAGTAATATCTAAGTCAGGATTTCAAGGCCTAGTAAAAATTAACTATTTGGGGGAAATTAGGGGGAAAGCAAAATTAAAGGTACATGAAAAGGCACGGAGGAGGAAAAGTAAAACATACTGCAAGAATTCAAAGTTCAGGATGTCTGCAGCACGGTGCAATGAGGGACATCAAGAAAAAAGGTGGTCAGAGAGGCAGGGATAATCACACAGGGTTTTCAGGCCGTGTTATGAGTCTGGATTTTATGCTAAGGGCAGTGAGAAGTCAGTGACAGTTAACTAGGGAGTAAAAAAGGAATTGGTAAACTATAGCCCATAGGCCAAATCTGGCCCTACATCTGCCTTTGTAAATAAAGTTTTATTGGGACATAGCCATGCCCACTTGTTTACATGTTGACTGTGGCTGTTTTTGTGCTACAATGGCAGCTGACTAGTTGAAACAGAGACTGATGGCCCATAAAGTCAAAAATATTTACTATATGGCCTTTGCAAAGGAAGTCTGCTGACTCTTGGAGTAAAACTGACCACTTTATCAAGACTGCTCTACTTCATGGCTTGGAAAGGAACTGGGTGACAGACAAGGAAAATGCTAAGGAGGCTATTCCAGAAATCTAGGTAAGAGATGAAGAGAGCACAGCGCTGGCAGGGAAGACAGAAAAAACAAGGCAGACATTCAGAAACCAGTAGTAAATCCACCTACCTATTTTTGTTTTCAGCTCACAATTCTCCAACTTACCCACAAGGAATCATAAGAGACCATATCAAATGCTTTGCAGACAGATATGGAACTAGAGGGTGGCAAGAGGATGGCGCCAAGATTGACTGACTCAGCCAGTCTAGGTTTGGACTACAGTGAGTCAAGGACAAGGGCAGAAAAGGTGCGTTCCTTTTCTGCCATACAGAAAAGATACAGAGACTGAGAAGTCTGTAAGGCATTCAGAAGAGTTAGCAGGTGACCAGCTACTAAGTCTGCAGCTCAGGAGAGACATCGGGCCAGGAGATTAAACTTCAGGAGGAAAACAACAGCTGAGCCCTCTAAGACAGCATGTGGAGTGTGAAGAGATCTAGGATGACAAATGGTTAAGGATGGTGTGTTTTCAAATTCCTTCGCGAGCGTTTTAGTCTGGACTATTTCCCCTTGGAGGAAAGCGATTATACAACCTTCCTGGTACAGCTAGACCTGCCAAACAGGAACCTCCACGTCTTCACTGCTAGTCCTCCTGCTGTTACCAAGGTTGTAGGAGCTAGTGGGAGGCAACCATCCTATAATCGTCATGCTGAGTTTACTCTTCATCAGCTTCACCCTTTCCAAGTCCTTTAAAAGTTGCCCGTTGGTTCTTCTGTGATTTGTACTTCAACCCCAAGATCAAGGTCTTGCCTATTAAGTTTCACCTTTCCATTCAGGATACCAAAACTCTTTGATCCTTCAAATACTTCCAGGTGAGAAGGGTCCATCTAAAATTATTGTCTATACCCCCAGTATTAACAACTCTGCCAACATCACACCGTCCATGGAATTTTAGCGCGTATTCTCTGCATATGCATAGGTCTGCAAGGAACATGAAGTGGATCATAAGGAGAAACCAGCAACAAGGTCTGAAACCTGTGAGGCAGACATTATTCAAAACCTCCTTCTAACCCAGTGGTTCTCCACCCTGGATGTGCATACTACAATCACATGGGAAGCCTCTCAACAGAACCAGTTCATAGGCCTAGGCCAACCACAGCCTCTGGCCCTAGTATTGTCTTAAAGCTCTTCAGTGATGCTTACGGGCACCTGGGGATGAGAACCATTGCTCCAGACCTGGGCTGTCCAACAGGAGTTTCTGGGATGATGGCAATGTTCTACATCTACGCTGTCCAATAAAGTAATCACTGGCCACGTGTGGCTCTGAGCATCTGAAATGCAGCTAGGACAACTGAGGGAGTGAGCTGCTATTTTAATTTCAAACACCCAGATGCAGTCTATAGCTACCACACTGAACAACACGGCTCTACACTGACAAAATGCTGATGGGTAGTTACATGCACGAACCCTTTACACATGGTCGCACAGCCAGTTTTCAGCTCACATTTCTCCACCTTGTCCACAAGAAATCACAGTTGTCAAACACTTTGAAGAAGTCCAGCTATACTCGCGGCGCCTGGGTGGCTCAGTGGGTTAAAGCCACTGCCTTCGGCTCAGGTCATGATCCCAGGGTCCTGGGATTGCCCCGCCTTGGGCTCTCTGCTCAGTGGGGAGCCTGCCTCCTCCTCTCTCTGCCTCTCTGCCTACTTGTGATCTCTCTGTCAAATAAATAATAATAAAAAATAAAAAATAAAAAAAAAAAAGAAGTCCAGCTATACTAAGTGTAGCAGCACAAAGCAAGTCAATGCGACGTGACCTATCCTTAAGGTCCCCGTGTTGGGTCCAACAATCACTGTTTCCTGTCCCTGCAGCGTTTTTTCCAAAGTCTATCCTTCCAGTATCAGTGCTAAGCAAGACAGCCTGGGTTACAGGCTTCCTTCCCACTTGGGAAAATGAGAAACAGCAGGAGCCCTGTGGTCTTTTGGCACCTCTCCTTTTCATATGACTTCTCGAAGACACCAACAGCAGCCTGTGATTTCTCTTTCAAGGCCTTGTATCATCTCAGAAAGAGAGCTTCAAGTCCCCGAGGGTGGCAAGTGGCCTCTCATCCCTTCATGTATCTTAGGCTGCCACTCCTCACTGTACCTTCCCTAGACAAGGCCACACCATACCTTCCCTAGACAAGAGATGACAACCACTAAAAGCAAAGGAGCTCAACTGCCTTACTTAACGTTCAAGAATACTCTCCCCGCCAACCATGAGCGGCAGCCTCACCCCTCCTAGTTCAGTTCAGAGCAAACACACACACGCAAACAGCACTAAAACTTTTCATGGTATCATAAGATCTCTAATATGCCTCCCTGGATATGTGTCCCTTCTTTCTTCTCTTATACACATCCTTTCATTTTGGGACATTATAAATATTCCCCAATATAAAGAAAGCAGTATAATCAACTCCTCTGTACCCAATACTCAGCTTCAATAACTATCAACATTATGCCAAATCCATTTCATCTAGACTCCAACTCACTCCTCTTTTTTTTCTGGAGTATTACAAAAATAAATAGCAGACATAACCACACCCTATGAAAGTCAGTACAAAGATTATTTTAAGGGGTCACTCAGAAGCACATTCCTGAGAGCTTTCAACCCTTTCGAGCTACCTCCCTTTCCAAAGTTTCGGTGATGCAACTATACCTTTACTTCTCTGGCCTTTTCGCACACTACCTTCTAGAAATCTGACGCACACATCTGAGATCTCCAACTCCCTGTCCTCCTTAAGTAAACTGTGCAGGGCCTCCAATGGCCACGTGAGGTTCTCTGTGACAGTGAGGAGACAGAGAACACTAGATGGCTGCAGGCACCATCCATCCCCGCACTACTGATTTTACTCCCTGGGGTCCAATTTTCCTTCTTTTCTTTTGTGGAGGAGACAGGAGAAGAAAGAATATGGGAAAAACACAGAGAAATATGTTAAAAGGATTAGTAGCACCTAAAGTGCCCCTGTCTGGAACTTTTGCTGTTTTAAGTCAATCACTGGAATGGGAGTTTTCTCCTCCCCAGGAGGAAAGTGAAGGAAAGCAGGGGAACAGAAAATGAGGAGAGCTCATCCACTAGCCTAGATCAGAGCCCCACTCTGACATTCCCTTCGTGGCTCTCGTCCTCTTCATCTCTAATGCAACTGTTTCCAAACCACTGTACAAAGGAGGCCTCCCACAGCTCTGTTCACAAATGCTAGGGGTTTCCTGGATCGTACTGCATTTACAAAGAGAGTCACAGCTTACTTGATAGCCCAGTGCTGCTGATGTTTTGATATTCAGAATAAAAAACTGCTTTTTCAAGCATTCCCAGGAAAATAACAGCTGCGATCCAGAACTGAATTCTTAATATATCTTTCCAATAACAGGCAGACCACATCAGCCAGAGTACGCCATATAAAATATAAACGATACACATCACCATGTAAAACTGTAGGAAGAAAAGCAATTTAGTCAATTAAGGCTTGTAATCATTTGAAAATGGACACTTCTTCATTCAAGTTATCTAGTCTTTTATTTTCCTGTCACTCTGGAATCAGAAATAGAGTGTATGCCAAAGCATTAGCTACTAAAGGATACCATCACAAGCTCTTCAAATTGTTAACATTACCAATTAGGATAAAAAATAATTTTTTAAAAAGGAAAAAATGATAAGAAATACTCACAATCATCAGAGGCCAATCTGATGCAGAAATATATCCATGAGGCCCAATCATAGAAAGAGAAACTGGTGAAGATGGGGATAAAGAAAATAAAGAATTAAATGACCCATTACATTTTAAATGTAAGCTCATTTCCCAGAAGGCTCTAAGAGTACAAACTGAGCTAACAAATGCTGAATTTTTACTTAGCACACACAAAATGCCGGATATTACTAGTCACTGGCATGTCAGCTCATCAAGATACCTTTACTTGTATACATGCTGGTATCAAACTAGGCCAGGTCTGATCTTAGGCAGACAGCAGAGCAGTACTGGCCTTTGACTGGGCCCATGCTGAGTCACTGACCTCACTGAGGACTCCGTCTTCCTTAATGTAACTTGGGATAAAGTACCGGACTCAAGCATCTGGTTGGGGTTGCTGTATAAGACAACAATAATAAGCGGGGTGCCAAACACAGAACCAAACTGTCTCAGTAACTGCTCCAGTTACTAACTGGTGGGGTCTTCAAACTGCCTGCTGGTATCAGGGGAAGAGACACAATACCTGGGAAGGTGAGAGAACACACAGTCTAGGTGGCAGAGTGGCCCCAATGTCCCTGGCTCTCTTCTCTGACCCCTTATGTCATCTCTAGGAAAGGCCCAACTTCCCATTCTTCCAGAGCAGCCACCTCCACCGGCTTCCCCTGTCGTACACCAGTTCTCTGCCTCCTCTGAAGCAATGCCTGTGTCCGCTCAGTACTTTCTGCCTCCTCACAGGACTGTGCAACTCTTAAAGACAAAGACTATCTTCACCTCTGTGCTCCTAGTGGATGAACTTGAGCAGTTTGCAAATGCCCAGGACCTTCACATGCTGTTGACTACTACTGGTCCAGCAGACACTCACTCTAGAAAATGACAGTCGAGGGATGCCTGAGTGGTTCAGTTGGTTAAGCATCTGCCTTCAGCTCAAGTCATGATCCCAGGGTCCTAGGATAAGTCCCACATAGGGCTCCCTGCTCAGCAGGGAGCCTGCTTCTTCCTCTGCCTGCCTCTCCTCTTGCTTGTGCTTGCGCTCTCTCTCTCTGACAAATAAATAAATAAAATCTTAAAAATAATTTCATAGAAAATGACAGCCGAAGCAATTCTAAGATCTCTGAAAGCATTCATTCTCTTAAAAATTGTCTTTTGTGGGGCGCCTGGGTGGCTCAGTAGGTTAAGCCTCTGCCTTCGGCTCAGGTCATCATCTCAGGGTCCTGGGCTCTGCTCAGCAGGGAGCCTGCTTCCCCCTCTCTGCCTGCCTCTCTGCCTACTTGTGATCTCTTTCTGTCAAATGGATTAATAAAATCTTCCAAGAAAAAATTTGCCTTTTATAAGCCCACTCTTGCATTGGGTACTAGGAGAGGAACAATAGAGCTTAATGAGACACAGAGGGCCTACCTTGGGGGACAGGGGTGGGCAGGGACCTCACAGACCCACAGAAGCCACAATTGCCAGATAAGCTCCTTCTACTCCTAAGCTATAGACAGATGCTTTAAAATAAAAATGTTAAACCTCTGATGATGGCCATTTTCATGAGACAATATAATCTACCTCAAATACAACTAAAATGTTGCCTACCCATTTCTATATTAGGAAATTCTTTTTTAAATCTATGAGGATGAAGAATTTTATATCCCACTATGGTTTGAAATTTTAAAAATTTACCCTAATTTTAAATTTCTAATCCATTAAAAAATATTACAGTTAAGATAAGCATAAAGTTTTAAAGTTTTAAAATAAACAGATTATTTTTGCTATTAACAGAAATAATTTTTTTTTATTTTATTTATTCATTTGAGAGAGAGACAGAGACAAAGACAGAAAAAGCACAAGCAGGGGGAAAGGCAGAGGGAGAAGCAGGCTCCCTGCTGAGAAGAGAGCCCAATGCAGGGCTCGATCCCAGGACCCTGAGACCATGACCTGAGCTGAAAGAAGAGGCTTAACCCACTGAGACACCCAGGCATCCCTTGAGTGACATTTTTAACAAAAAAATGTAGATTTGGGTCAACGACAAAAATATAGAATACAGTAAAAGCAGACAGCAAAAATGCATGCAGTTTAACTATACCATTCAAATTCCATCTTGCGTCTGTTTTTTCCGTTTTGATAGAAACAATAAAGATATGAAACCCATCTCTCTGTGTTCTCGCTACAACATCCTGAAACAGGGGGGAAAAAAATCCTTTATGTTATTTTTTAAAAATCGCTATATAAGCTACAGTTAAGCAACAGTCCACCACATTTTAAAACAACTTTTAGTAATTCAATGGGGTTACTTTTTACTGTTTTAAAACAACGGAAAGAAATGGTAGACAGTGGAAGGATAGCAGACTGTGGAAGGGTTGCCCCTATACCTGCCCCTCTCAGACCCAAAGCAATGGAGGAAGAAAAAAGCTTTTTCTACTGTTCAGTTTTTCCCCTTTTAATATTTTTAAAGGATCTCCCCTGGAAACTATCATTCTATGTTTTACTTATTAATACCATTCAAATATTTTTTCTAATACTACACTTCCCATATTTCATTCTAATATCAAGCATTCAGTTGTTAAATATGGCTGTTTTTAAACTGAACTGGGGGAGTAAGAAGTCAGGTAACATTGTTAGAAAGGCTGTACAGATTCAGTACATAGGTTCAATTATTTAAATTCCCTAACATCTATGTTACTAGCCGTCCTGCCAGGAAAAGAAATTGCCCCCTGTAATGCCTAGGAATGTTGCAAGGTCCTACATAACTGGATCAAACTTCACATTCATCCTTCCAGAATATTCCCTATCCTTCCCTTTCGTTTCCTACTCCTCCACCTGCAACAGAGTCTGTGCAGAGCAGAGTTTTGTCCCAGCCACTGCAGAGTGGAACATATTTCCACTCTGAAATCACTCTTTAAGATCACTGAGAAACTTAGAGGCACGGCATCAAAGCAAATGTTTAGCCCTCCCAAAGCCACCTTCAGTCCCTACGCTCAACTGCTTCCAAGCCTCTACACCTCTTGGTCTGACTTTTAGGAATTCCTCCAAATACCAAATTCTCTTTCCCCTGGAGCTACATTCATGGTTTCTATTTCTTTACATCCTTAATGATGATCCAGACCAGCCCACTGTTATGTTAGGCATTTGAAAGAAAGGTAGCAAAGAAGTTAACCTTAAATTATAACTTCAAAGGAATTTTTAAATAAAGAAATAAGTAAATACAAAATTCATACAGATACACATAAAAAAATATACTATTTGAAATAATGCTTCTTTTTCTCCCCCTACTTCTAATCACCCTACTGTATATTGCTCTATCCAAGTATCTATCCATCACAGATTCTTTTCAGGCTTACCAGAACTTGTAAACATTTGATTTAAAGACAAATAAAATGACTCACTGTTGATCTTTCCTGGTTTGAAACATTTCTGGTATTTGTAATTAGTTCCTTATTCTGGAAAAAAAGAATAAAACAATTCCATTTTATATTGCTGCATTTCCATGGGGAAAACTGCTTTAAAAATTAAGAAAAATTGCTTTGAAAAAAGTAAAGAACCAGAAAAAATTAAAAGTAAAAAAGTTTATAGCCCAAACATGAGTTAAAAAAAAATCCTGCTTTTGAAAAATTACTGTTTAAATCAGGGTAGTGCTTACCTTTGGTGGGGAAGATACTGCGGGGGAGCTTTAGGGGCTAAAATATTCTATACTTGATCTGGGTCTATACTGATGTGCTCAGGTTCTGAAAATTCATCAAGCCATACACCTCTGCTATGCACACTTTATGTTTTTATTTGTAATAAAATAAATTTAATTAATTTATTTTTATAAAATAAAATAACTAATTTTTAATAAAATAAATTTAATTAAATAAATTTATTTAATAAAATAAAAACTTTGTTTTTATTATCACAAATCTTAAAAACACCTTTATTATTTTCACTGAAGACTTGCTTTCAATTTTTCATTTCAGAATTTACAGAGTAAAAATGTAAGTTACAATGACCCATAGCATCACAACCCATGGATGACTGCTGTTAACATTTCAGAATCAAATCTTCCAGGCTGTGAGGAAGTAAGTAAGGGAGGAGAGAGTGTTCAAGTAGGTTGGTTGCTGATAAGCCAAGGAAGTTGACAGATCTTTAGCACTGGAAAGAGTGACTAGGTGTTCTGAAGGAATGATGGGGGCAAAGGTCTCACTGGAGTAGATAGAGGGAGAGAATGATGGAGGAACTGACAGGGAGACCAGGGAAAAATGGCGAAAGGGTTCTTTTTCAAGGGTGTTTCTGTAAAGGGTACAGTGAAATGGAGTAATGGTGCCAGGATCTTACTTGTTAACACCTAAAATTAACAAAATAAGCACCTTTCTTTATCAAAATATTGATAAAATAGAATTTAATACTTGTATTCACTGGGAGTAAAGTACATTCTACTTTGACATGGCAAGACAGATACTCACAGTCAGTGAGGGAAACACCTGCAAGTCACTGTTGCAGTCTAAGTTTTCATATTTTGTTGTCCAACATTCAATGTTCTTGAAATAATGGCCACAAAAGTCTTCATCAACACTAGGATCCTGTTTTTGTGATAGCTCCTCCTACCCAAGGTAAAATTCTACGTTATAATTTATTTCTACACTTCTTATTCAAGAAGATAAGTAAAACTTAGTATCTAAATGATTGCAAAGATTTATTCAGTTTGGAGCACTTGAAAACACACAGAATACTGAAAAGAAAAATGTTTTGGATATAATCTTAAGTATGACAAGGTAATCATAATATGTTAGCCATTCCAAGGCACTCAGATCCAGTAACACATAATATAAGCATAATCTTAGAGGAAGAAAAGTGACTAAGGTATTACCACAGGAAATGGTACACAGAGAAGTAAAAAATACTTTGACCTGAGGCTACTTTCATTTGATCCCATGTATAAAAGATTTTAGAGAGAAAGAAAACCAGCATTTAACTACTACAAGGAAGGTTAAATCAAAGACGGATGAATAAAACCAGGCTGCTAATGGCAGCTTCCAGTCATCAAGAAAAGGTTAAGTTGGCTTCTACTGGCCAAATAGGAGACAATTTGAGCAAAATAAATTTAAAATCATATTATAACCCATGTAACAAAGCAAAAATCAACGAGTCCATGCTGATGATTGCTCAGTTAAATGACTGATAGGTAAAATAAAAGGAAAAGGAAAAGAGAGAGCTCATCCTGATGGCAGAATGTTAACAAAGCAAAAGAAAATATGGAATTAGAAAAAGCACCATTCAGCAATCATCAGAGCAATAACTGACTGATCAGGCCAGAATCAAAGGATATTAAAACAAGGATTGATGAAAAATCAGGATATTCGGGATGCCTGGGTGGCTAGGTCGGTTAAGTGGCTGCCTTCAGCTCAGGTCATGATCCCAGCATCCTGGGATTGAGTCCCACATCGGGCTCCTTGCTCTGCAGGGAGCCTGCTTCTCCCTCTGCCTCTGCCTGCCTCTCTGCCGGCCTGTACTCTCTCTCTCTCTCTGACAAATAAATAAATAAAATCTTAAAAAAAAAATCAGGATATTCACATACAAATACAAAAGTATTTCTTCACAAATTATTGTTAACAACAAAGAGAAAAGTAGTAACTTTATAGTGGAGAAACCTGGTAGAAACTTCCTTAACCAACCAACCAAAGTTAGCATTACCAAAAATGGGACAAGCCAGTACTAATCTAACCTAAACTAATCATGAGAAAATATCAGAAATATTGGAAGCGAAGGACATTTTATAAAAATAAATGGTTTGTACACCCCAAATATATCAATGTCAGGAAAGACGAAAAAAAAAAAAAAGCTGCAGAAATGGCAATGTGATCTTGGACTGGAACTTATACCAGGAAAACAACAAAAAACTGCTAAAAAGGATGTTTAGGGGACACTCCCAAAACTGTAACAAGATCTGTTTATTAGGGAATTCTGAGTGGCTCAGTCGGTTAAGTGTCTACCTTCAGCTCAGGTCATGATCCCAGAGTCCTGGGATCAAGTTCTGTATTTGGCTCCATGCTCGGCAGGGAGCCTGCTTCTCCCTCTGCCTGGCACTCCCCCTGCTTGTTCTCATGCTCTCTCTCTGACAAATAAATAAATAAAATCTTAAAAAAAAAATCTATTAGATAATAGTTTTGTATCAATGTTAAATTTCCTTTATTTTTATCACTGTGTTGTGTAATCTAAGTGAATATCTTTGTTCTAAGGAAACACACACTGAAGTATTTAGTACGAAGGGGTAAAATATTTGGGGATAAAGTCACAAAGGCACTATTTGAGGAAAATGATAGCTTTCATCCCAAATGAAAAGATAACACAGATAAAAGTACGGAAACCTATGCATCATTTAAGGTAGGAGCTCACAAGGAAGTAGCTGTAAGCAACCATCAGCACTGTCAAAAGAAACACCTTGCTGAAGGACACAGGAGCCCAGTGGACACCCTCCTCTCACATGCTCCCCCTCCCTTCCCTGGGGGTCTCCTTTCCTCTTCTCACCTCCCTGCAATCTGCTTCTACTCACTAAAGTTACTCAGCCTCCCTAAAGTTCTAGGTGCCCTATAACTAATTTTTTGGATGAAGTAAAAATTTTACATTACTTCCTTAAACTACATTGATTTTTATTTGTATGGGACCCACAACCCCTTTATTAATGGTTCTTACATGTCTGGTTTAAATATTTATTAACATTTTTCATAAGACAAAAGGGAACGAAAAGATGTTTCCTCCTCAGAAAGCATATACTTTGATACAATTAGAGCATTTCTTGCCGAAGTCCGAAAATAAATCTGTGGCACTTTCAAAACTACAATCTATATTTCCGGCCTCCTCACCTGATGAGCTAATAAATCTTTATACTCATAATTTTTCCTTCATAGCTTTTTTTTTTAAAGAAGATTTTATTTATTTATTTGACAGAAAGAGACACAGCATGAGAGGGAACACAAGCAGGGGGAGCAGGAGAGGGAGAAGCAGGTTTCCTGCTGAGCAGGGAGCCCAACGCAGGAGCCCCCCTTCATAGTTTTATATGCACTGAAAATTTGCATTTTACTTACCTCCAGCTTAGAATATTCATTTTGACAGGTATAATGCTTCAAATGCCACTCTATGGCAAACTTCACAGGCCCAGAACAACTGAATGACTTAACTGTTTAGAAAAAGAAAGTTTCATTTTATAGTAATCATATATATGCTCCAATATAAGCTTAAGGTTTCGAGAATGCAATTTAAAATAGGCTACTTTAATGAAATAGTGAGTAAAATATTACCTAATTTCTGCCAAAGTCACTGCAAAGTGAGATAAATTCATTAAATTATTTTAGTTAACCAAAAGTTGCTATAATATTATTCATTTAATCGCTATATTAAATCTATAGAGTTAAAAATCAACTGAGTAACAGAATATGTAAGTATTATATAATATTTAAAGTAAGTCACTGCTTACTCTAAAGTCACTCTAAACTGTTCTCGTCACTGACTTATTCAAAAAATACTGAGTGAGCATCCCTTGTGTGTCAGAAAGAGTAACGGTAAACTAGAACAACTCCAGTCCTTGATATAAGAGGTATTGGGGAGAGACGGGTTAACAATTAAATAGGCACCTTTGATAGAATAAGGGTCTGAGAACAGGGGGTCAAGGCCCTGGGCAGGGCACCTAACATAGTCTAGAAGAGCATGAAGAAGGGGTACCAACAGGCTTACTGGAGGAGGAGGCCTTTAAAGTGAAGAGCAGGAATTAGCTAGGTGATGAGGAGAGGGGAACAGTATGCAAATGTCCATGAACACCACAAAATAGTTGGCTATGGTCAGAACACAGACTGGGGAAAGGGGGAAGAGCTGAAGCTGGGTAAGAGTGCTAGAGAAGGGGATCCTGGGTGACTCAGTCGTGAAGCATTTGCTTTGGCTCAGGTCATGATCTCAGGGTCCTGGGATCAAGCCCCACGTTGGGCTCCATGCTCAGCGGGAGGCCTGCTTCTCTCTCTCCCACTCCCCTCACTTGTGGCTTGTGTTCCCTCTCTGTCAAATAAATAAAATCTTAAAAAAAAAAAAAAGAGTGCTGGAGGAAAGTTGTAAGGGGTACTGTGCTCTGCTAAGGAGTTTTCCTTTATTTTGAATATTACAAAGCACTACTCTATGTTTCAGGTAGAAGGGTAACATGATTAGAAAGACCGAAAAGGATTAAGTCTAGAATGAGAAAAAGATCTTTTGGGAGTATTATCACAACATGGCAGCTGCCTTTCCCTAGAATAGGTCATCAGAGAGAGAGAGAGAGAAAAGAAGAAGCCACAGTATCTTTTATGGCCTAGTTTCAGAAGCAATATGCCATTACTTCTGCCATATTCTCTTGGTCAGACCAACCTTAATATAATATGGTAGAGGACTATATAAAGTCACGAAAAATAGGAGGCAGGGATCACTGTGAGCCATCTTGAAGACTGGTAACCAGAGGGAATCCAACCTGAGACTGAGACTGGTAAAACTACTGAGGCAGAACACCTAAGAGTTGGGAGCTGCCTAGAGAAAATGTAAATGAAATCTGGACAGGGATACCATTGAACCTGTCTGTATAGTAGCCAGCCCCTGCATAGGAAGAAGTCCAGTGATTCTCAGAGATCACACAGGGCTGGGAACTAATTGAGCTTCCACTAACCAGAGTGGAAATTAATATATATTAATTTCATTAAATACACCAAGCATTCAGAGAAATGTAGCAGGGTCATACCTCAGAAGTGATGCTAAGTTAGCCCTACAGTAAAGCTACTCCAGGTCCACCCTAAAAGAAATTAAACATAAAACTGGAAAGGATCAAACTGACCCAAAAGAAACTTAGCTGTCTGCCAGAAAAAAAGTTGTTAAAGGAGTACAACACCTCAGCACTTAAGAATGTAACATTCAGGGGTGCCTGGGTGGCTCAGTGGGTTAAGCCTCTACCTTCGGCTAGAGTCATAATCCCAGGGTCCTGGGATGGAGCCCTGCATTGGGTTCTCTGCTCAGCAGGGAGCCTGTTTCCCTTCCTCTCTCTCTGCCTGCCACTCTGCCTACTTGTGATCTCTGTCAAATAAATAAATAAAATCTTAAAAAAAAAAAAAAAAAGAATGTAACATTCATGGGTCTCCTGAATGGCTCAGACAGTTAAGCACCTGCCTTGGTCACAATCCAGATTCCTGGGATCAAGCCCCTCCTCAGGCTCTCTGCTCAGTGGGGGGGTCTGCTTCTCCCTCTCCCGCTGCCCCTCCCCTGATTGTACTCTCTCACTCTCTCAAAAAAAAAAAAGTAACATTCATGACATCCACCATCCAAACAAAAATCAGATATAAAAAGCAGAAAAAACTGATTCATAATCATGATAGATTAGTCATTATGACAAAGATGGAAATGACAAAGATGGTTAGCAGAGAAGAATATTAAAACAGTTGTTATAAATATTTTTCATATGCTCAACAATGTAAAGGAAAATATGAAAAATACTGAGGAGGGAAAGAAGATATTTGAAAAAAAGGAACCAAACTTCTAGAAATTAAAAAAATATAATATTCAAGTAAAAAATTCACTGTATAAGATTAATAGAGATTAAATGAGATTAAATACTAGACAAGACAAGATCACTGAACTTGAAGACAAAGCAATAGAAAGATCCAAAATGAAGCACACAGAAAGAGACTAAAAAAAATTAACAAAGCCTCAGTGACCTATAAAACAATATCAAGCAGGCTAACATAAGGGCAAATGGAGTCCCAGAAGGGAAGGACAGAGAGGTGGAGACAGTGTCTAAATCCATGATCAATGTAAGAAATGAGATTTTTTTCAGTATAGATACACAGTTGTTCCAGCATCATTTACTGAAAAGACTAACTTCTTTCTAAAGAATTAACCTTGGCACCTTTACTGAAAGTCAATTGAGTTTACATATGTGGGTATATTTCTGAGCTCTCTGATCTGTCTCACTGTTCTATATGTTCTATCTTTATACTAATACCACACTGTTAGGATTACAGTGCCTTTATATACATTCTGAAATCAGACAGAAGTCTTTCAACTTTGTTCTTTTTTAAAATTGCTTTGACTATTCTAGGTTTTTTGTATTTGCATATAAATTTTAGAAACAGTTAATTTCTACATTAAAGTCAACTTAGATTCTGATTGAGATTGATTGAATTTATAGAAAATCTGGGGAAAACTGACATTATGTTATAGATTTTTCATAGATGCCTTTATCAGCTTGAGGAAGTCTTTTATTTCTAGTTTTAGAAATCTAAGGGTTTTTATCATGAATGGGTGTTACCTTTTTTCAAATGCTTTTCTGTACCTATTGAGATGATTATATAGCATATTTCTTTTATTCTGTTTATATCGTGAATTACACTAAGAAATTTTTGGCAGTGACTCCACAAGACTGCATCCTGAATGGGGTAGCAAAAGAGGGGTCACCTAAGAGAAAGCCAGATACATATCCAACGGACTAATTCTTAGCTTTGCAAGCACTAAAATCTGGTTCTGTGAGAACACAGAGACTTGGTCTCACTCCTTCACCACACCATCAATGTAGACGTATAATCTAGAAAGCCCAAATACTCACTTAAAATGAATAGTAACTGTAAAGTGGTTGTATAATGATTGATTAACTCTCTCCCCTCAGCATACTTTCCTGCGTATCGGAAGTTGCTGAAAGTTGCTCGATGACCAAAGCACCAGAACGAGGTGGCTCAGAAGGATGCTGCACCTACCCTGCCAGTGACCTCTCGTACCTACAGTCACAGCTCAAGAAGACTTCTCTCCCATCCATGCTGCTAGACCTCTGCTTTAACCTGACTTAACACTCGTATTTTCTTATGCTTTTGCTTCTAACTCCCTTCTGTTGCCTCATTCTTTCTTTAGCTATGTTAATTACCACCATCTTGAGTGTGGTCTACTCTTAGCTGATCACAAACATTACCTACTGATTTTTTGGGGGGAAATTCCTTTTTTAAACTTAAATTCAATTAATTAACATATAGTATAATATTAGTTTCAAAGGTAGAGTTCAGTGATTCATCAGTTGCATAGAACACCCAGTGCTCAATACATTACATGCCCTCTTTAATGCCCATCAGTAGCTACCCCATCCTCCCACCCACACCCCTCCAGCAACCCTCACTTTGTTTCCTATGCTTCCTATGTCTCTTATGCGGGGTGCCTGGGTGGCTCAGTTGGTTAAGCGTCTGCCTTCTGCTCAGGTCATGATCCCAGGGTCCTGGGATCAAGCCCTGCATCGGCTCCCTGCTCAGCAGGAAGCATGCTTCTCCCTCTACCACTCCCCCGCTTGTGTTCCCTCTTTTGCTGTCTGTCAAATAAATAAATACAAATCTTGGGGCACCTGGGTGGCTCAGTGGGTTGGGCCGCTGCCTTCGGCTTGGGTCATGATCTCAGGGTCCTGGGATCGAGTCCCGCATCGGGCTCTCTGCTCGGCGGGGAGCCTGCTTCTCTCTCTCTCTCTCTCTCTCTCTCTCTGCCTGCCTCTCTGTCTACTTGTGATCTCTCTCTGTCAAATAAATAAATAAATAAATAAATAAATACAAATCTTTAAAAAAAAAAGTCTCTTACAGTTTGTCTCCCTCTGATTTCATCTTGTTTTATTTTTTCCCAGGTTTCTTTCTTTTACTAACCAGAATCATGCTGTATGTATTGTTCTTTGATGTGCTTACTGGAGATGTTCTCAGCCTAGCACACTCCTTCTTTTTTTTAAGATTTTATTTATTTATTTGAGAGAGAGAGAGCAGGAGAGTGGAGAAGGTCAGAGGGAGAAGCAGACTCCCCATGGAGCTGGGAGACTGATGCAGGCCTTGATCCTGGGACTCCAGGAATATGACCTAAGCCAAAGGCATTGCTTAACCAACTAAGCTACCCACCCAGGTGCCCTAGCACACTCCTTTTATCCATTACATATTCCACATAAATAGTGTCACTGTTTGGGTTGCTTCCTTACGCTGTTATAATTATGCCCACTTTTGTGGAATTTAAGGGGAAATTTGAGGGGAAAAGTGCCAGTTTGAGCCCTTGGCAATCTGAGGTGAAGCCATATTGACTTGGCATTGAGCTGGTGGCAGGCCGTGCATGATCACTTGGGCAGGGAAATGGCTGGACTGTGAATTTGGGGCCCACAAGCCAAAGGGATAATGTGTGACAGGGACATGCTGGTTTCGCTTTTAACTTTTGTTTTTCCAGGAAACTCTATCTCTCCTTCTATCCTAAATGAATGTCTTGCTGGATAGAGTATTCTTGGCTCTAGATTTTTTCCTTTTAGCACTTGGAATTTATCAGGCCGCTCCCTTCTGGCCTGCAAAGTTTCTGCTGAAAAACTCACTGATAGCTATATGGTGTTTCCCTTGTAAGTCACCGCTTTCCTTTCTCTTGCTGCTTTTAAAATTCTCTCTTTATCACTATTTTTGGCCATCTTATTTACTTTGTATCTTGGTGGAGACCTCTTCAGGCTGGTTTTGTTGGGGGCTCTCTGTACCTCCTGGATCTGGATTTCTCTTTCCTTCCCCAGATTCTCTAAGTTTTCAGCTATTATTTCTTCAGACAAATCTTTTGCCCCCTTTCCTCACTCTTCTCCTTCTGGGATCCCAATCATACGACTGTTATGCTTCACAGTGTCGCTGAGTTCCCTGGGTCTATTCTCATTTTTCATATTTTTCTCCCCTCTCATCGGCTCAGCTTGATTACTTTCCATTACTCTGACCTCCAGGTGGCTGATCCATTCTTCTAATTCCTCTTGTTTGCTATTTATTCCACATGGTCTATTTTTATTTCCATTTAGTGAGTCCAATAACTCTAATTGGTTCTTTTTACATCTCCTATCTCTTTGTAGAGGGTTTCATGGAGGTTCTGCACTTCTTTCTTAATTCTAGCAAGTATCTTTATGACCATTACTTTAAATTCACTGTCAGATATATTACTTATCTCCATTTTGTTCAGGTCTCTTGCTCTGATTTTGTTCTGCTCTTTCATTTGGGACACAGTCCTCTGTCTCATTTTGTCTAACTCTCTGTGTCTGTTTCTCTGTGTTGGAAAGTCAGCTACAATCTCCCACATTTGAAAGTAGTGGCTTTATGAAGAAGAGGTTCTGCAGTGCAATGTCTCCTTTTTACCAGAAAACGGTGCTTCAGGGGTGGTGTCTCCTATGTGTGTTGCTACAGGGATGTCCTACTGTTGTGGTGGAGCTGTTTTTGCCTTCAGTCCAGCCTGCAATGGCTCTCTGCCTATTGTGGGCAGAGTCTGGTGCCTATGTTGTTAGTGGGTTGCCTTGGGCTTGAGTTGAGTCAGATCAGATGTTTATAGGAGATAAGTAGGACTAAACTTCGGGCACTTTCCCTGTGTTGTCACCTGAGAAGCTTTTGTTGGTGGGTGGGGCCTGCAGTCAGACCAGCTGCCTGCCCCCAGCCCACTGCTGGGGTTACAGTCAGACTGGTGTGTGGTTATCTTCCCCTCTCCCTGGAGCAGAACTCACTTTGGAGTGATGCTGGCCCTTGTCTGGGCTGTGTACATACTGCCAGGCTTGTGACCTGCTTTGATGGGATCTTGCCAAAGGCGATCGGAGTGGGTGGATTTGCTTCGCTGTGGCCTCTTATCTATGTTGGAGTCTGTTCTGCCAGTTTTCCAATTGCTTTCTGGATTATTTATGCCGATGTGGGGGTTTTCTAGGTGGCCATGCAACAAGAGGTGAACCCAGCGTCCTCCTACTCTGCCATCTTCCCAGCGGCCTCTATGTATTGTTTTTTTAAATCAAATTACTTTTCATTGGTACATATCCTGCCCCCCACCATTTAAATTTTTTGTCTGCACCTTCTAGCAATAACTGTGCCTCAGATAAACCTTATTGACTACGATACTGCGCAAAGCTTGTCTGTACCTTCTAAACCTTACCTGTCTAGGCACTGAGATTTGAATTCATTAAAGAAATGGATGCCCCACTTTTTTCATCACCTATCTCTGACTTCAGTTTCCTCTTACCAAGTTTCCTCTTACCAAGTTAATATCACCATTGATGATCTCTGATACCAATGAGCTGCTCTGAACTACTTCTGCTTTCTAGTTCACGGCTGGCCAACTTCCCTCAGCAAAGACCCACTATGACAGAATCACCCAACAAATGATCTGTGAATGCATGAATACGGTGTGATAGAAAAAGGGGGCATGGCTTTGGATCCCCAGGAAGCCAATTAACTCTACCCAACAAAAAACTACTCCTTATTCCAAAACTTTGACCCTAGCAACCAAATTACCTAGTCAAGTTACTGGAAACACTAAGAGGAGTTAGACTATAGTGAATAAGATTTACTATAAACCCCTTAAAATTATTAAAAACCTCAAAATCTATGACTTGATAGTTTTACACATCAGTACTTAAAATCCTAATTAAAATGTTAGTGTCTAGTAATTTTTATTGTATTCTATGACCATGCATATATTTACAAAAGTTTCAGGGACAAAGGCTTTACCACAATCATGACATTTCATATATTCATAAAAGGAATTTATCTAGTTTTAGAAGTTGGGATTCAGAGTAAAATTTCACAGAAGTGAAATACTTTTCTTTGCTGAAGCCTACCTTATTATACTTTAATTATGAATTTTAATTAATGATTCATATTACATTTTTTGAGACAGGATCAGAAAAATCCATTCTTAAAAATAACCAAGACTTGACCGAAACAAAAAAAACCCTGAACATGTTAGAACCACTTAAAAACAAAACATCTGCATAGCTTAAAATATGTTATACTAGTTTTATTAATATATCAGCTTATATATTACATGATGTTATTCATTTATATACTATTGTTAGTATATTAGTTTATTGTACTTACCAGAAAACCTGATTTCAGTAGAGTTAAACATAGTTTTTCTAAATATCAAAGGTCCTGATTTCTAAAATGAAACACAAGAAAATACAGAAAGATTTAGTTAAAATTTTTTTTCTCTATTTAGTAGTACAGTTTTACCTTTGAAAATATACACTTCTAACTCTAGCACTCCTGTGACCAGAGTGATTATTTCTTAAAAATGTAAATCTGGTCCCATCATCCACTTGCTTAAAGTCTTGTCCCATAAGTCTACTCTCTAAGAGGCTCTGGAATGCCCTTGAAGCTGGAGAAAGCCAACACACAGGAGGTAAGGGCTGCTGCCCTGTACCATTACTGTTGCTCAGGAAGGAGACCTATTTGTGCATCTTCAGTTGCTTTCTCGGTATCTATTCGAATGTACTTTCGGTAAAACAACCATCCCTGTTCCTAAATTGTTATGGTTTCCCAATGTGTGCTTATAACAAACCAATTCTTACTGCCGCTCATAGACCCCTGCATGATCAAGGCCTGCCCACCTCTCAGCACCTTTCTCTCAGTGTTTTGAGAGCAGGATACTCCTTCGGGCTCTCAGGACCTTAGTAGTCAAGCTGAAAACTTACTTAAGAGCCCTTCCCTGTCACTCTTTGTCCACCTTGTTAAAGACTTCTGAAGTTTCTCAGGCCAGTTCAAGACCCCCTTCCTAAGGAAGTCTTCCACCAGGTACCACATCAGGCCAGGCACTCCCTTACACAGTCTCTAGGACCCATCCTTCATGACCCTTGCCACAATTAAAATGAACTAATCCATTACTTAGTTATTTAATATCTGCCCTAAGCAAGAATGAAAACACTGTGAGAAAGGATGGTGTTCAATGAACAAGTGGTTAGAAATGAAAACCCCAGATGATAGGCAGCTCTTTCTTGATAACCTTCCACCCCAACATTTTCAACAATAACAAATCCCCTAGCCCAGACCCCCTCCTCTGAGCCCCAGATCCACATACCCAACTGCCTCAAGGTCATGTTCACCCTAGTGGAGACATTCCACACTAACCTGTCCTAAAGCAGACACATTCCTCTCTGTTCCTTTCTTTCTACACTACCCATGTTGGTTGCAGGTGATGCCATCTTCAGTCACCCCAGCCTTGACTCCTTCTAGCTGCTTAGCTCCATCACCTAATCCCCAAGGCATGTCTACTTTATCTTGCAAAAACTTCCCAAATTAAGTTCTTCTTCTCTATCCCTGCCACCACTGCTCCAATTCAGGCTCTCAACATTGTCTGCCTCCTGCTCTGCAATAACCTAATTGGTAATTCTGCCACCAGATCTGAGTCTATAATTCATGCTTAGATAGCAGCCATAGTGATTGGTACTTATGCCTACAATCCTTCAATGGCTCTCCTTCGTTCACACCCAAAATCTGTTATTGGTGGCCTAAGCAAACCTATAAATGGGGTCTGTTTGGCCCACATCAGAACTTTTAAAAATGTTTTGGATTGGCTGACATGATAAAAATATGGATTCTGGTTTTCCCTTAAAAAAAAAAAAAAAAAAGAGGAGACCTGGCAATTCTGTGTCTACGTTGCCATATAAGATCCACTAGCTGAATGGCAGCTGACCTCTTCAGAAGGAGCACATAATCTACAGGCCACAGCTCTCCCAGCATCCCCTGACTCTAGTTCACTTTACTCAGTGGACATCACTGGCCTCAGACCCTAGGAGTCCTGGAGTTTAGACCCACGGCAATAGGTTTAGGGCTAAGCTGTGGGAGGCTTAGAGTAGCCTAAGTCCCCTTTAACACTCCAACCAGAACCTCATTCAGCAGAAACACTAAGAATTTCCTGCATTGCTACTTTTCTACTCCCTCCTTCTCCTTCATCCAGGTAACACCCACTCATCTTTAAAGACACAACCAGACATCAAGTCTAGAAAGTGGAGTTAGGCGACACTGCCCCCCACCCCGCCCCCAGTGCTCCACTAATATTCCAAGAATGCTGCCATGTATATAACTACTCATGAATCTGTTGTCTCTACTACTATAGGAGCTTCTTGAGAGAAGAGACTGTTGCTTAAATTCATCTTTGCAACAACAATGGCCAGTCTAGTACACTGTGCACAGCAGATGATCAAACTATTTGTTTGCTTTACAATCGAAAGAAGCACTTCTTAATACATTTGCAATACAAATAAATGAGAGCCTCCCTCTCCTTTCCTATTCTTTTTTTTTTTTAAAGATTTTATTTATTTATTTGACAGAGATCAAAAGTAGGCAGAGAGGCAGGCAGAGAGAGAGGAATGGAAGCAGGCTCCCTGCTGGGCAGAGAGCCCCATGTGGAGCTCGATCGCAGGACCCTGGGATCAAGACCTGAACCGAAGGCAGAGGCTATAACCCACTGAGCCACGCAGGCGCCCCTCCTTTCTTATTCTTAAGGGCAAATTCTAACAGCTTGAAATGGGGTGGGGGGGAAATCAGTGTATTCTCTACAAAGAAGAGATTGATGGACTGCTACTGATCTGATGTAGGACCCAAGGAAAAATTTACCTTCCTAAAGCAGAAAGTAAAGTCATTTTTTCTTCAGGGCCTTTGGAGTTTCACCACCCAAAGTATAGCTGGCAAAGAGTTTTGCAGATAATGATCAAGTAGTTTAACAATCTGTGCACGGCTCGTTCGCTTCCAGTATGGTTTACTCTAAGTTTATGATATTGTCATTCACTAAAGAAATGGCATGAAACCACAAGTGTGGGTCTCTGAGTTTTGCTTTTTACTGTTCAGAGAAATTCAATAATAGAGATGTGCACGCTCTGTCACTGGCACATATAATGGGACGCCAACCCAGAAGAATCCTGGAAGAAATGGTAGCACCTGGTACTAATTTTTTCTGTTTGACTAAATCAAAATGTAGGTTTTGCCTTTAAGGCTCAAACAGCATTTCAATGCATGTGGAAAACAGTCATCTTAAAACAGAGCTGGTTGAATCATCTGACTAGAAAAGCAAGGGATAAGGCCTCTTCCCGATCTCCTGTCCCTCTTCAGCAAGGCTTTCCAAAATTCTACTCCTGTGTCGTTCCTACATCATCTCATGTGACTCCTGGATACCAAGTTCTCAAATGGCCTGTCCTGGAAAGGAAGTTTCCATACACTCATGCCTCCAGACTAGCCTTTCAAGCACTCCTTAATCATCCATCCCTCCTCATCTCCACACACACATTCCCAGAACTATGATAGGAGCCCTAGAGAAATTCAGGAACCCCAGAAGAGCGAAAAAGGGGTGGGGTGGTTGCTCCATGTTTCCTCCTTATTTAAAGAAAAACAAACAAAAAACAAAAAACGAAAGCGGCACACAGGCTTTTAAGTTTATGCTGAGTGAAGCCTGGGAAAGTCCTGTCTAAAGTGACCTCACGGGTGTGGCCCTGCGGCTGCACCCGGGCCCGAGGTGGGGTCAAATGGCAAAGATGCGGGCCCGAGCGAGAGCCAAGGGATCTGGGGGCTCGGGTCTGAATAAACAAGAACCTGGGCGAGCCAGAACGCGTCATAGCCCAACAGGCGCCAGGACTTCGGGAAGGCGATCTTTAGGAACAGTTCCAGCGCTCAGAAGGGAGAGCCGTCCTCATGCACAGGATTCCCCACAGCCTAGGTCGGGCCGGAGAAGGGGGCTCTCCCGGTCCATAACGGACGAAAAACTCAGTGACCGTATCACCGAGCCGGAGCAGGCCGGGTACAGACCAGATGAACAAGTCCCCGGCCGGGCCCGGGGGTCGCAGCGAGCTCCGCGAGGACCCGTAGGGCCCGAGACGCGCCACGCCTCGGTCTCCACGCTCCACTTACGTCGTTGACCGTCGCTGCCCAGAGCCCGGGCTCCGGGACGGCGCCCACAGCCGCCGGCGCCCAGCACAGGAGGTAGAGGGCGACGCGAAGCAGCGGGGCCCCGACAAGAAGGTGGCGTCCGGGCTGGAGCCGGGCTCCGATGCGGCAGGCGGCGGCCATCTTGACACGGAAGCCGCACCTGGCGCTCCGAGACGCCCGCCACGCCCCGGGTCCGCACCTGGTGAGCTCCGCCCCCGGGAGGCGGGTTCGGGTCGGTTGGTGTGTCTCTAACTGGGAGGTGGACGAGGGGGTTTGGGCTTGGGCGATGAGGCGCGGTTCGGGCCCGCGAAGCTGGGCTGAGGCCCGGGCGCAGGCGTGGAGCTAAAGAAGCTAGAGCAGGGCTAGGAGGGGTGGGCGGGTCAGAGAGTGGAGGCGGGCCTCGGGGCCGGGCCGGAGTGGGGAGGCGGGGCTAGGTTTGGGGCGGGGCCGGGATGGGAGGCGGGACTCAGGGCCGGGCCCGAGTGTGGAGGCGGGCCGCGGGAATAGGCGGGGTGTGGGCGGGACCATACTGGGGCCGGGGCGGGCTGGGAAGCAGGGCCAGCCTGAAGCCGAAAATTCAGGTCCTAGATTTAACTGTGGTTGTAGTCCGAGCTTAGTGGAGAGTATGGGATGGTTTCATGTCAAACTTCTGCTCTTTGTGTCTCAGTTTCTTGCATCCTCTGCACTCCTACCCAGTCCTCTCAGCTCAAGGGAAACAAACTGTTCTCTAAATTCATGGAAAGTGGTCCGGAAAGTACTTTGAGGTCAGGGTCCCTGAACCCAAGGCTCTGTGTTGTAAGCGTAACGTCGGTAGCACAGTTAGTGATTTTCAGACAAATAAAGCCTCCTGGTTACTTAAAGCTGAAAGTGGCAGGGCTTACATCTGTCTTATTGTGTACTTCGCCCAGCGTTTTCTTCTTTGAAAGCTTGCTGTCAAAGAGAACTCCTTTACTGTCAAATGTGAGTAATGTCCAGAGGAAAAGTACAATCCCGGATTAATATTGTTATAACTTAAAATAGAACTTATTTATAGTCAAGAGGCTCTCTCTGCCTTATCAGTCACTCTAGACACTTACTCAGCCAGTAATTACTGAGGGTCTAGTCCAGAGTTCTGAGTTGAGGTTCATGTACATGTATAAATGTGAAGATTGAATTTGTGAAAGCTCCTTTTCACAAGAAACTTGTAATTATATATAATTATTTTTATTGTTTACTAATGCTTCGTATAGGCCCCTTGTTATACAACCATCAAAATTCGAGAGCACAAGGAGATAGGTTTCTGCAGCACTGGCCAATCCTCTCCAGTAGGTGGCACTAGCAGTTTGAAAGATATTTGCTATAAATTCGTGTACTATAAATGCTTTGTAATCCAGAAGTCTTTAACTTCCAACTTCAGTTGATGATGCTATATATATATGTATATATGTATGTATATGATTAAAATAATTAAAACCTTAATTCAGTCAACAAATATTGTGTGCCTTAGTGCTAAGTATTGCATATTTATACAGATTGCTGGTAATAGACTCAGCGAGGATTTTACATTATTAAAGTATAAGTACTTTTGTCATTTAGATTTTGTGGCTATTTTATTAAAACCTAGCTTCCAAGGCAGACTGGAACTACTGTCACTGGAGCACCTGGGTGGCTAAGTGGGTTAAGCCTCTGGCTTCGGCTCAGGTCATGATCTCAGGTTCCTGGGATCGAGCCCCACATCAGGCTCTCTGCTTGGCAGGGAGCCTGCTCCCCGCCCCACACCCCCCACCCACCTACCTCTCTGCCTACTTGTGATCTCTGTCTGTCAAATAAATAAATTAAATTAAATCTTAATTTAAAAAAAAGCTACTGTCATTGACTGGAGCAAATCAAGCAACATTGGTATCTCCTGCATCCAAGACACTGCCTTGGTAGGGATAAGATCAATGCAGCATAGTCTCTGCCATCACTGGTGAGGATGTAAAAATGTAAAAAGATGTGCACATGTAAAAAACCAATTATATGAGGCAGAACAGGTAAAGCCTTGAAGCATGGATATTAAGAGTATATGAGGGTAATTTGGTTATTTTTTTCAAGAGTCCTTTATCTTTTAGAGATTTCCTTCCTTTGAGTTTGCCCAGAACCAGACCCTGAGGTAAAGATTTGAGAAGTAGTTCATTTGAGAGATGCAAGAAACACCAGTAGGGGAGTATTATGGACTGAATTTCCCCACAAAATTCATATGCTAAAATCTTAACCCCCAGTTCCTCAGAATGTGACTGTATTTGGAAATAGGGCCTTAAAACAGGTAATTAAGGTGAAAACGAGGTTGTATATGTAGGCCCTACTCCAGTATGACTGGCATTCTTATAAGAAGAGGAAATTAAGATATGCGTGTGCGCGTGCCTCTGCACATGCAGGGGTGCGCACCCACACACAAAGACCACATGAAGACACAGGGAGAAGACAGTCATCTATCTATAAGCCAAGGAGAGAGGTTCAGAAGAGACCAACCCTGCTGACACCTTGAACTCTGACACCTTGATGTCAGACTTCTAGTTTCTACAATGATGAGAAAATAAATTATGTTAAGTCGCTCAGTCTGTGGTACTTTGTTGTGGCAGCCCGGAAAAACTGATACAGGGAGTGAGCAAATGGGACACAGAGATGATACAGATAATAAAGGGGGCATTATCGCATCAGCTACTACTGTGGGCAAAGGGAATGTAATCTCATTGAGAAACTTAGGAAAAAGTGTGAAACTCATGCCCTGTAATCATCTCACAAGGGATGAAGGAGCTGAGACATCCATATCTTCATACCTGTTAGTCCTTGGTTATGATCTATCCCTGTGGGGTCGGGGGTACACCAATGACACTGGCAGTTCCAGTCTACTATGAGCAGGACACAGTAGTTCTCCCCGCTTTTGAGGAAAGCCTTTAAGCAAAGAGATGCAGGCAATGAGAGCTAGAGTCAGTTCAGCCACACTGAAGTGAAAGAACAGGAGGAATATGGACGGGACACTGACAAGGACCCTGCAGAAACTCCCCCTAAATATTAACATAAGTTTATATGATGTCTGGGATTTTCTTTAAAATAATATAAGAAGGAGAGAAGTGAGTGGGGACACAGACAAAACAAGACTGGCCATGAGTTGAACATTTTCTAAGACCTGGAGATGGATACAGGGGCATTTACATGACTATCCTGTTTATTTTTGTGTAAGTTTGAAATTTTCCATAATAAAAAGTTTTTAGGGTGCTTGGGTGGTTCAGTCAGTTAAGTGGCTGCCTTCAGCTCAGGTCATGATTTCAGGGTCCTGGGATCCAGCCCCAGCCTGCTTTTCCCTTTCCTCCCTGCTCATGCTCTCTCTTGCTATCTCTCTCAAATAAATAAATAAATAAATAAAATCTTTAAAAAAATTTATAAAAATTCGTTAGAGACTTCTGCTAGATGGAGCAGTAGGGACCAAGTTACCCTCCTGCCTAAAACAACAACAATAAACAGACCAAATATATGAAACAACAGTTTTCAAGACACTGGACAGCAGGTAATGGACAATTATCACATTCCATAAGAATTAAATAGATAGATAGATTAATTAAATCAGGCCCTCTTATTGGTCCAGCTTACTAGCTTAAGAAAGTTTCCAGATCAAAATATGTGAAGAGAAACCAAAGCAGACCTAGCAGATTCCCAGAGGTTAGAAGATGGGATCCAATGCTGGTTTGTAGGACTGAATATGGAGAGGAAAGAGCTGTACAATGAGGGAACCTTGGGATCTCTAGATGGTTCTCCTCAAATCTTCAGCAAGAACTGATCAGTTTCTACATGGGAAGAAACTGCCTGATGCCAAGAAAAGATTCGCCAAGAAGGAACAGTACCCGAAAGGCTGGGAATAGTGCCTGCTCTGATCAGCTAACCTAGGACATTTCACAGATTTATAGGGCATTTTCTAGAGTTCTCGAAATTTTTTTGCCCCGACAATGGAGACTTAACAGTCCCCAATTAAATAAGGCTCTTAAACCCAATGAACAAATCTTAAAAGCAAGACCTAAAAGGTGAAATAGTTTCCAAGAAAGTGTGTCCAAGAACAGAACTTAAGGATATTTACAGGTATTATAAAAAATCTCCAGCACCCTAGAAGATCAAATCACAATGTTTGTCATCCTATTAAAAGTTACCAGGTAGGGGCCCCTGGATGGCTCAGTGGGTTGAGCCTCTGCCTTCACCTCAGGTCATGGTCTCAGGGTCTTGGGATGGAGCCCCGCATTGGGCTCTCTGCTCAGCAGGGAGCCTGCTTCCCCCTCTCCCTCTACCTGCCTCTCTGCCTACCTGTGATCTCTGTCTGTCAAATAAATAAATAAAATCTTAAAAAAAAAAGTTACCAGGTATGCAAAGAATCAGGAAAATATAAGACATAAGAAGAGAAAAAAAATTGAAACTGATCTAGAACTGACATGTCAAAATGAGCAGAAAAGAATATTAAAAATTATTGTAACTTTTTATTAAAGATTTTATCCATTTATTTGAGAGAGAGTGTGAGAGAGAGAGCACACAGCAGGGGCAGAAGAGAGGGAGAAGCGGACCTCCCTGCCAAGCAGGGAGCCCAATGCAGAACTCAATCCCAGGACGCTGGGACCATGACCTAAATCTGAGGCCGACAACCAACCTACTGAGCCACCCAGGCTCCCCAAAAGTTATTGTAACTTAATTCCATATGTTCAAAAGTTAAGTAGAGACATGGAAAATAGAAAAAAGACCAAATTAAGTTTCTGGCAATGCAAAATACAATGCATGAGATAAAAAATATTCTGGATGGAATTAATGACAGATTGGCTACTGTAGAAGGAAACATTAGTGAACTTCAAGACATAGGAATAAAAACTAATCAAAATCTTAGAAAAGAAAAAAGAATGAAAAAATATTAAACATCAGTGAGCAGCGAGGATCAGTGTGTAGTCAAGGGCCCAATATATGTGTAACTGGAATCCCAAAAGAAGGGAGGGTCAGAAAAAATTTTTGAATAAATAATGGCTGAAATTTTCTCAAACTTGATAAAAACTATAAACTCACAGATCCAAGAAGATAATTAAAGGCAAACAGAGGAAATCCAAAGATTACACCAAAGCATATCATAAGCAAATGCATAAAATCAGTGATAAAGAAAAAGATTTTAAAAGCAAAGAAAAAGGGGGCACTTGGGTGGTTCAGTCAATTAAGTGGCGACTGTTGATTTTGGCTCAGGTCGTGATCTCAGGGTCCTGGGATCAAGCCCCACATCAGCCTCCATACTCACTGAGTAGTCTGTTTGAGGATTCTATCTCTCCCTCTCCCTCTGCCTCTCCTTCTGATTGCACTCTCTCTGTCA